GCAGATGGGGTGGGATTTGCTTTAGCTTCATGCCCATCGACCCAGGGGGGATGTTGCTGCAAGCAGAGGTAATGGGTTTGGTGCTGCCAGGGATGGAGCATCCATAAGCACTTTCTGCTTTAGAAACCAAAGCCTGTTGAAAAGAGGAATGGGTACCAAAACTTCAGCAAGCACCAAACATGCTGATAACTGTACAGAGGCCTCTGGATTGCTGTGATTCGATGTAGGGCACGTTTTAAGGCTGTTTGCTATGGGGTTTTATTCCATTTAAGTAACAAAGAGTAAAAGCTGGCTTCAGACCTTATCTTAATGCCATTTAAGGCCGGGTTGGATGGGGCTTGGAGTAACCTCCTCTAGTGGAAGGTGTCCCTGCCCGTGGCAGGGGTTGGAGCTGGATGAGCTTTAAGGTCCCTTCAACCCAAACCATTCCACGATCCCCAGCACCCTGTGTTTGGGGTTATTTCAGCTTCCCGCAAGCAGAACTAAGCACAAACCCAGCTCAGCAGCTTCGTGCAGGGGAGGGTCGGTGGCCGCGGATGCTGGGCTCTGCACGGCGGGGTCCATCGCCCGCTCCCCGCGCTGCAGCCCCGCTTCTCCTCCAGCACAACCTGCTTGTGCCATCTAGTGGCTGTTCCAGACAGGCTCAAACATGGACCTGGGCAGCCAAGGTGGTGATGGAGAAAGGCAGGAAGGGGAGAAATGTATGGGGGGGGTATTGGTGTTGTCAGGCAGCTCTTTTCCATGTTGTTACAGAAGTGAGGATGAGACCAGGGTACGAGGCTGTGCCCAGCGCGCTGCCCATAGGGGAAGCTTAGTGCTGGAGTTCCCTAAGCCAGAGCGTGACAGCCTCCAAGATGCTGCCTGTGTTTGACCCATCAAGAGCAGGACCTGTGTCTGGAGGCGCAGATCACCCCAGGTGCTTGCTGGGGTGCATCAAATGGCTTTAATGCAAGCAGCCTAACCTCAGAGGGGATCTTATAGCAAAGCCATGTGTCTGCTTCCAGGTACGGGATTTAAGCACCTATCCAGGTGGGAAAGCACATGGACTCACATCTGAGGGTGGCTGGAGGTCGAGCTTTGGCTGCTGTGAATTGGGATCTGATGGCAATAGGGTTCTAAAGGGTCTTCCCACTTTATCTTTCCTCTCAGATCACTTCTGTTGCAGTTACAAGCACCAACAGGACTTGCTTTCTGCCTATATCATGAGTGGCTTTACACTTGGGGTCCCCTCTGCTTGGCTTTCCAGGACACCACAGCCCCATCACAGATCCATTCCTCTCCTCCTGGGCAGACACATCCCACAGAGCTTCCCATGGGATCTGGCAGCTTCTCTTGAGATTAACCCCCTGCCCGGCTCCACTGCGCTGCTGTTCCAAGTGCCCGACTGCATTAGCATTGATTTATGTCTAATGCAGCCACCCACCGGGGAGGCTTTGGGTATCCTTCCTGTTTGCTCTCTTGGCAGAGGTAAGTACAGCCTTGCTCTTAAGCTGCAGGCGCAGGCTCCCGGCCACGCTGTACTGAAGGGAGGGCTTGGGGCTGGCCGGCAGCACTGGGGATGCGCGTGTCGTTAATGCACTGCTCTAATGCTTCCTTTATTGCTGTGGAGCTGCACATGTTCTAGGGGCCTGAAGAGAAGGAAAAAACTCTTTTCCCCCTTTCCCTTCTCTTTCTCTTCCCCCCTTTCCCCTTCTCTTTCTTCCCCCCTTCCCCTTCTTTTCCCTCTTCTCCCCCCTTTCCCCCTCTTTCCCCTTCTCTTTCCCCCTTCTCTTTGCACCCTTTCCCTTTCTTCCCCCCTTTCCCTTCTTCCCCCTTTCCTTCTCTTTGCACCCTTTCCCTCTCCTTCTTCCCCTTCCCTTCTTTCTTTCCCCCTTTTCTTTCTTCCCCCCTTTCCCTTTTCTTTCTTCCCCCCTTTCCCTTTTCTTCCCCCCCTTTCCCTTCTCTTCCCTCCCTTTCCCTTCTATTTTTCCTTTTTATCCCCTCCTTTTTTCCCTTTCTCTCCTCCCTTTCCTACCTTCCCTCTTTCCTGTCCCTCTTCCCTCTTTTCCCTTTCTCTCTTTTCCCTTTTCTCATCTGCCTTCAGCATCCTCTCTGAGAAATCCCCTTTGCTGCACACAGGAACACAGGGGAGGTTCAAGGTCACAGGTAAAGACAGCACCAACCCTGAGCCTCTTCCCTCATGTACTCAAGTGCTGGTTCCTGACCTCCTCTCAGCAATGTCTCCCCTCACCTTGCACATCTAACGAGAGCAGAGGCAGGCAGGAGCTCATGAAGCAGATGAGCCCCTCCTTTACAATGCCATTTGCTTACACTGCTTATTTTTCTTGGGCATAATGATTTTTAAGGGGGAAAACGCAATTTTGCTTAATGGGAACCACGTTTAACACTCCATGGGCTTTGCCTGCTCCATCTGGGAAGCATTTTTCCTTCTTTCTTTTAATTATTATTAAACCAGCCCAGTAAATTGCATGTGGTTAAGAGGCACTTCTCATTAAGATGAAATACTTGGAGGATTATCTGCTTTTAAAGAGGTGATGATACACTATAGGTTGTATTTTAACTCCCCTGTTAACCCAGTCTCGTAGCACCCACATCCCATGGGACCTGCTCAGCACATTGCAGGGCGCGAACGCTGATGGGGAGCTGGATGCAATCAGAGCTGATGGGAAGGAAGGGAAAAGGGGTCAGGCGAAGAGGGCACAGCGGGGACCATGAAGTGGCAAATCATGGCAGGGAAGGGAAATGTTTAATCAGTTTATTTAAGTACAGGTGGTATGGAGGGGGGGAAAAGAGAGGTTGCAAGAGGACCAAGAGACAGGGGAGCACTATATATAGATGTACAGCTGCTTCCTTCAGGTGGTGTAACTCAAGACCGTGGGGTGATTAATGTTGTGAGTTGGAATGTATAGCGGGCTCTGATTGCATCTGAGTGTCTATAATTTAGCTCCTTAGTAAAATTAACTCGACATTTTTAGTGAGCTGTGAGGACAATAATGTGTGAAGAGACTCAAGAAGGAGTTTGCCTGCACTGGCTCTTCCCTTACCTCCCCCTTTTTTGTCAATTTGCAAAGTTTATTTTTAAACTTCCCCAGTTTTCTTATCCTGGCATCTTTCCCCTCATCCAGATGAAGGAGTTGGCCTCCCCCTGCTGTCAGCTAAGCACAACGACGTGGTGTTACTGAGCTTTCACCTCCCTCCACGGACTACAGGTGCAAGGTCTCAGCAGCCACAATGCGAGATGGATGCTCAGGCTAACTCAAGTAAGAGCTGTACATTGGGATATCCAAGGCACATAATGTAATCAGAGCATGACACCTCTGGAAAACCATGGGATCTCCTATTAAATCCATCTTCATCCTTCAGAAGGCATTGTGGCACAGGTTGTCCAGAGAAGCTGTGGCTGCCCCATCCCTGGTCGTGTTCAAGCATGGACTAATGTGAGGCATCCCTGCCCATGGCAGGGGGTTGGAACTATATGATTTTAAGGTCCTTTCCAGCCCAAACCATTTATGACTCTATACTGGTGTCCACCTAAGCTTAGGAGCACAGGGCTGCCCAAAGGGAGGATGCACAGCTCTGACCTCTTAATATCAAGCTGTGATTTTGAACCAAAGTGCTTTAGAGCATCTTTCTGATATTCAGTTGTCTGAATACCAACAAATTGCTGGGAAACCATTTGAACACACCAAAGCTTTAGTGGAAGGAGCTATTCTGGCTTGGCTTGTTCCTCAACATGTGCATGTAGTACCAGAGTAGTTGAAATGGCTCCTGTCTCATGGCCAGCTCAGTGGGTGTCAGAGCTATCTGTGTTCACAGTCAGGTTTAACTGAGCACAGACTGACTGTTGTGAAATTACACACTGGTTATTCTCTAGAGTGCAATATCCAAGGACATTAGATCGGGTTATACACAATATAACCACAAACCTGCACTGAGATTTCCAAGACCTGGTGCTGACCTTGGATGATGAGGGTGAATTATCCACTCTAATGGGACATCATCAAAGGGAAAAAGAGTAAAAATCACACTTAGTGAGAAATTCACTTAGATCAGTAAAGTCATGATTGTACCACGAAATTATTTTGTAACAGAAAAATCACTTTAAATTATGGTTTTTTTAGGGTTAAAACACCTTCCCAGTTCACTTACTTAGTGGCACTGAGAGCAGATTGCAGGCAGTCAGCATGAGTGGAGCATGAACGCATGTTTTATATGCTTGTGTTCTCTGGCCTTGCCAAATACCACTTCTATGTATCAATATGGGACATAAAAACCCCAGTAAAAGACTTAATTGAATTTATGAAACATTTTTCAGGCGTTTTAGGAGAAAAAATTGATTTCAAACCTGTCAGGCTGTGTCCCTCATGGCTTTCTGCATCTCTGTACAGATCCCAGTGGGGGTGTGGGGTAACACTAATGTTTTACCAACAGCACTAGGTCTTTCTGTTCAATGTTGTTGAAAGCAAGTTTCCAGCATCCCTGCTCAGGCAGGACAATCCTTGTCTGTACCTTATAGATACATCATGAAGGACTGAATGAAGTATTCACTCCATTCTAATGTGGCTTCCCATGGCAGGGGGCTGGATCTAGATGATCTTTAAGGTCCCTTCCAACTCTGAGCACTCATTGAACAAAGAGTCATAGAATGGCCAAACACAAACACATTTGCAATGAATGTTTCATTATAATTGTCTGATTCTAAGTAACACCATCAGACTATCAGACTTAGCATCGACCTAAGTTTCTAACAGGGAGGTAAAAAAGCTCCAGAGAACCTTCCAGAAAGGTTTAAAATGCTATAAAATAGTGAACATTTCTCACAGTGCTACAGAACAATGCCAACTGCCAGTATTATTATTCTTTTAACCTACCTTCTTTTAGCAGTAGACAAACTGTGGAAGGTGAATCACATCTGTGATTCTTTCAGGACTTGTTTATAACAACAAATAGTTTTCTAACAGACAAGTACAAATATAAAATTTCAAAATAAGCCAACTTAAAAAAAAAAATCTGGATTTTTCACTTTCTCCAGTACCTTTTTTTCTATAATAAATATTAAAAGATATCTGTTACCTTACAGAAAGCATTAAATAAGTTATTTACCAAAAGATTATTGTTGGCTTTTTGGTCAAAGGCTGATTCCATTAACAGCTGAACAAATGTTTTTACACCAACAAAGAGTAAGGCATAAAGAACCAAAGGTCACAGGAGCAGTCTCTATGAGTGGAATCTTCTCTTTCAGAGAATCCTTTTCTTGCTGGTATAGGAAGGTGATTTTTGATTCTCAGCTGGTGGGACCTGGTGAGAAAAGCAACAATTATTGTTATTTTATAGTATCTCAAGCACACACGGTTTGTCCCTACCCCTGGGCCATGATGCTGCAAAAGGATCTGCAAATAGGAGCTTCTGTAAGAAGATTTCTGTAAGTAGAAAGAGTTTTATTATGCCACCACTTTCTAACTCACATAGGGCTGAGACAACAGGACTGCAGCCACACAGCAGTCAGAAAGGTGAGGAAAAGGGATGCATGGAAAAGGTCAGAGGGAAACTTACGGAGGGGCTGGGAAATGTAGTCATTGAGTGGAGTGGCATGAGGAGAAGGAGGGGATGCAGGAGTCAGGAGGTGCATTGCATCCTCCTGGGAGTAGAGTCCAAACCTTCTGGGAGAAATCAAATCTAAACAGTGATTACTTTAATACACTGCATTAGCAAATAGCTATTTGCAAAAGCTTTGCCTGTGGGCCTGTATTTAAATGAAGGCACCACTAGTTATTAATACATACACAAGCTTTAAGTAATGGTGCCTTTGAACTTATTCAGTAGGCAAGTTATGGGACTGTGATCTGCTGAAATAAAACTACTGGAAGAAGATGATAGATGAGTATTAATGTAGGGAAAGCACCAGAAAGGAGCAGTTTGATGTGATCAGTCGTAAAACACTGATTCAAACATCAGATACTGCAGAATATTACTAACCTGCTGCCACCCAGACTGATTAGGCAGCAAACCTAAAGCAAATCAGACCAATTCTGCAGAATAACTACTAACACAGCAATGCATATTTTTAATGAGTATATAAAAAGGCATTAAATGCAACCAAAAACTGTACTTACTTCCAGGTTTCCTCTAGCCTTCTTCAAGACATCATGAGTCAAAGCCACTGGAAAGAAAGAGGAGAATCAGAAGAACACTGCGCAGACTTTCTATATTCAAGTCCTAAATAAGGTACGTAACTAGCAACGCCACAATCACACACCACTTCCACTTTCCTACTCGCCAAAACCCAGAACTGTTTTCTCCCTCCTGAGCCCTGTTAAGAAGCTCAGGCTGCAGTACAACCCTCCAGCTGCAGCAACCCCAGATTAAGGGACCGTGCTGCTCTAGGAGATGGTTAGGAAAGAGGCAGAAGGACATGCACTGAAATGGCATTTCCTATCCCCAGCCTATGTTTCATCTAGTGCAGAATCTGATTTTCAAATCTAAACATTAGGGAAGTGCTTTTAGTTTCTCTGCCATAAGAACAATACATGTGAAAACAGCCATAGCTCATCACTACAGTTAATGTACAGACATGAACAGCCACCTGCAATACTGATGACCTGGTTTCCTTGACAGAAGTCATCAAAGGAAGACTTTCTGTTAATTTTAAGGGGAGGTGGTACAAACTACAATTTGATCTATTCAGTAGCTAATTTGGTCTGGGAAGGGAAGAAAAACTGTGCAGTGAAGAGATTATGTGGAATGATGCACTGGGAAAGGGACAGATGGCAGAAGGAAGCCAGATCCTCCAGCAGTTCAAGGACAAAGCAAGCTATATATGCTTAGGGGAAATTATGTCAGTGGCTTGCTCTGAAGGCTTCCAAGTTTCCTGTGTTCAGCTACTTTGCCTCTGTGGGGACAGCATGAGACCTGTGAAAGGAGGAGGGGATGCTTCTAAACAAAACTAATCTTTAGAAATGCCAGGTTGAATAATGTGATTCTCTAATCTGTGTCAGGTCCATAACTGTGGAAAAATACCATTCACAAGTACCAATTGAATATCCCGGTCTCAAAAATAAACAATTTAGCCATAATAAAGATTTTTCATTACAATAATAACAATCCAACAACTCCAAGGGTATAGCTGTCAGGAGATAATTATACCCTTGGCAGATTACTGCAATTTGGCACTGCATTGTTACATGTTCAGAGGTTCAGATGAGGTTTATAAGCAATGAGTTCTCTCGCCAGAGAAAGCATACAGAAAACTCTGAGCCACCAGAATGTTCCAGTCTCTGCCTCTAAATAGATTTAGGAATGCTCAACTAAATAACAGAAGAAACCTGAATATCCTCAGTGGACTGGCCAGCTAACAGGATGCTAGGAGAATGAAGGCAGCCAAAGTCACCTACTGTGATGCTTTTGCTCTTACTAGTGAAGGAGAAAGGAAGAAATACCAAAACTAAGTGTAAGCATCCTAACAAAATCCAGCAGCTTCTTATGATCCCCCAGTTTTGTTGTATGCTTGGCCAGGAACTTGTGTACAGATGCAATTTAGAAACCTTTCTGAAATTGCTCTTTAAAGGCAAAGGTAATCTGACATCCATAATTCCCATAATCAGTGAAACTCACAGAAAATCATATCTAGGTCTTTCTGTGTAGCAGATTGCTTTGTGCTCATAAAGAACTCTGCTAGTAAAGTCATTTCACCTGGCAAACTAGGTTTTTCTAAATCAAAAATATTAAATTCAGCACATGAAGAGCCTTCAGTGTCACATCCTCTATCAGCCAAGCTGCTGCTAGCCAGCCAATAGTTTGCATTGCGGAGATTGCAGGAAATACAGGCTTTGTTTTATAAGGACCTAGTTTAGATGAGGTTGAATGTCCTGAGAAGGAGTGAGTAAATTAAGGGGGAGATGTATTTCTTTCTGAGAGCATGGAGTGGCTGTGGGGATACCATTCTGGCCAGGAGGGCAAAATCTCTGCTGATTTATACTTTTGGAATTACCCAGTATGTCTGAGATGTCACTGCAAGTAGGAACTGACCAAATGAAACCAGCAGATACCCCAGGGATATTATTCAGACAGACATGCCAGAATAGCTTTGATTTTTATATGACAACCCCAAACTGAGTTGTTTGAGTTTTAAACCTGAACAAAACAGAATTTTGGATTTAATATAAGTAATTTGTACATCATTTAGTAGAATCCCAGACTTGTTTGGGTTGGAAGGAGTGTTAAAGCTCATCCAGTTCCAACCCCTGCCCGGGATAGGGTAGCCACGGCTTCTCTGAGCAACCTGTGCCAGAGTCTTACCACCCTCACAGGGAAGAGATTCTTAATGTCTAATCTAAATCTCCCATTTGTCAGTTTAAAGCCATTCCCTCTTGTCCTGTCCCTACAGAGCCTTGTAAAAATCCATATTCTTGTTTCTCCAGCTTTAGAAGTAGCCACAGACTACAAAAATCAAACAAGAACCAGTAATAAAGCATACACTGGTCAATGATGACTTTCTCCATGTTTTCCTTCAGCTGGTTTGTGGAGTGCAAGCGTTTCACTGTGCTGTGTAACTTCTTCTCTTGCTCAGACAGTTTCTTCCGTAATCTAAATATTTCTGCTTTCATTCCATCATCCTAAATTAAGAGAAGAAAATGAAATATTAAAGTATTATATATAAGTATATTTTATTTATATATATCTACATCAGTATTATATAACAGTATATTGTGCATTGCTAAATACTTTTGTACAAGACCCTTTAAGCTTCCTTAGAGGAGTGAAGCACCACTGATTGCCTGTCCTTCTATGTTCACTTCCCCAGTGATATACATGATTTCCTATGGTATCTGCCAAGAGACAGTTATAATTCTTAACTGGCTTTTAGTGCAATTCATTTTCCTTCTAGTTCTGAGAAAAACCAGTGTCTATTTTTGGTTTTCAGCCTCCAGACCTCTCTTCCTTTTCTGTCCTCCTCAACTAGAAAATGTAAGGAAGACCAGCGCTATGGGATCAGCAAGTATCCTGCCTACCAGGTTGAGAGCTTCCAACTTCCTTCTCCAGTGTGCTGTTAATAGTTGATGCTGCCTTCATTCAAGAGCTAAAAAACATTGTACAAATGACTGGGACAGTTCTATTGCAAAATTATTTAGCATTGTCACCATTTAAGCTTCAGTTTTCACCATTCCAACCAAATCAGTGTTAGGATTTTGTAAAACAGGACTATGAGCAGCCCTGACATAGTCTGCCAGTATCATGGATCTTGATTCTCATGCAAACTTAAGCTTGTACATTTACTTCTTTTCTTGTTGTGCCACTTGTTAACTAATAGTATCTTCTGGAATTTGCCCCTGGCATTTAGCTCTTCAGAAGAACTGATTACTCACAACTCCTGTGGGGCTGAAGAGAAGGCAGTGAATGCTCAGTATCTTTTAGACTCAAGCTTCAAGAGACACACTGCATTTAAAGACATCAGAAACAATCTAATATCCTTAAGATCTCAGGATGTTAGATAAGAAACTCCAGGAAAGATTCTATTAGGCTCTAATTAGGTGCAGTCCTGGGAATTCAGATATTCCACATGTTAAGGTTGGATTTTCAGAAGTGACTGATCCAGATCAAGAAGGTTTAAGATCTCTCTAACATTAAAGCATCAGATGCATCACACACCATGTGTGCGAGCTATGTTCAGATACTGCAATCCAGGCCAATACAAAACTGTCTGTATAGATTATACACATGATAAAAATGGAAGTATACACACTTGTCAAGACATCCTAAATATGGAGCTGAAACATCAGTGAATATATTAGACATCAGAGTTTATTCTTACTGTTTTTGTGATTTTACACATCGAAGGATGCTAGAAAATAACAGCAAAAATGTTATGAAAATGCTATAGAAAATATTTACTTTTCCTAAAGTTTGGGGTTATTTTCCCAGCAATATCCTGGTTCTTTTAAGGAAACACATACAGAAACCCCTCAGTGAAAACGTTTCAGATTCATTTTCAGGCCAGACTTTGAAACAGTTTCATTGCTAAGCGGCGGTATTATGACAGTACAGATAATTCATTCCTCATTCAGTTTACTTCCATTCATTTGCACAGTGCAATCCTTTTTAGTTAAAACGTTATAAAACTTGTCTGGGGCTTTTGTCACACTTGTAAAAAAGCATTCTATTTTCCATCTTAGGCACCCAATATGTTATCTGAGCTACATTCTCCTTTTACATCAAAGTTGCTGAAGTTTCTCTTGTTACTAGGATATACATAAACGAATTGGGTTCTATAGCAGGGACTCCAAACCTTTTCTTGATGAAATGGAGCATTTGCCTGCCTGGGTTTCCTGTATCATTACAGATTACCTCTGTACTATAAAGCATACGCAAATAGAAGTGTAAATAAATAAACACCTCAGTATGCAGTGTGATAGAAAGCCAGCACGCATTCAGCCTTAGCCTTCAATGATGGGAACTGTAAATCCATGTGGCCAAAGACACCCAAGGTTCAGGGGTTTCAAAGGATTTTTCCCAAATGACACATTACAACAAGAAAAAAACCCTCCAAGCAGGTAAAAACACCCACAGCCAACCAACAAACCCCACTAAACCCCCCCAGAATGAAGCACAACAGTACCTGAGTGCCATGCGTGGTACCGTGTACACCTTTCAGTGGAAGGGAAACTCTCCAAAGGAGTTTGAGTAAACGTGCAGCCTCTTCTAAGATCTGCTGTAAAGTGTGAATGTTTGCTGAAAAGCTCTGCAGTGCTGCCTGCTCTGGTACCTGTGGCACAGGGTTAGAGACATGGCAAATTTTATGCTTAAAACGTTATGAAAATGTAATCTTAATTAATGGTTTAAACCCCGCTGGTATTTTGATTTAGTATTTAAGATGATGTACACAGCTATTGTGTGCCCCAAAAGCTAATTTGTTGGTTTGCAAAGACTGCTGAATTATGCATTATCTGAGAATCTCAGGGAGGGAGGGGATTTATCCTAATCAATAACCATGATTAATAATAGATTATATTTACTGGAGTTGCTATGCCACATGGTAATAGCTGGCAACTCTCTTCTCTCTCCATTTGCATTTCGTGTCATGTTATTTGAAAGTCAAATGATTACAGACATCAATTTAAGCAATATAGATGTTTCTTCCTTAGCAGACCCTTTAAACTGTTCCATTTAATGCTAAAAGAACTATCAGGACACACATAAAATGTTTTCCTCTGCTGACAGATGAGAAAACCAAATTGAAGAAATTGCATAAATGTAAAATAAAGGAGGGGAAGAACGCAAGGGTTGGAAATGAATTACCAGAGCAATGGTGATACAGAAGGGGGAAGGGTAATGAAAGAAAAGCATTCACAGTTCCTGCCCCGTGCAGTATTCCATTTGAATATGTATTTAGCATTGTTACCTAACCAGAACCCTCCTGCCACATAAAATAACCCATTTGCTAAGCAGTCTGAAATTTCAGTGATGTAAAGCTTGATAGGAAACTGCAAATGGTAAAACTTACTGCTTTTATCTTTACACCAACAACACAAGTTACAAACTTAGCCAGATTACTTTTGAAGTCATTATCAGGATCTTAACTAGGTCATTTGAAAATATATGATACTTCAGAGAGTCTTAAGTGTCATTCAGACATCATTTTACTGTGTGAGCACACATGTGATCCCTCAAAAAGTTGTTCCGAATTGGTGAAGACTGCATCTTCAATACCTTTACTAATTAGGACTGGCAAAATAAGTAGTGCAGATTTATCCATGCAGTTCAGAACTTCTGGTTTTTGAAGAGCAATGAGCATATTTTTTTGCACATTTATATTATCATAAAATCATAAGGGTGAAAGGACCTTCATTAGTCACCTCATTTACTTTCCCACTCCAAGGCAGGAAAGCATTACATGTAATTTTTCAAGCATTCACATAATCTGTTCTTACAAGCACCCTCCATTCCAGTGTTTCATTATTTTTATCACTGGCATGTATTTTAAATGCCCTATCCAGGCTTTTCTATTGTGGTTCCTTATTAACTGCCATGGACATATACATATTGTTCTTTCCCTCCTGTTGAAGCTTGTAGGTAGATCTGTCTTACTCAGTCCACCCCAAACCTGCTATCATCAACTGTATCCAGAAATTAACAGTATTAAATAAGAAAAATTAGCATTAACAAACACTAGGTCTCTTGATTCTAGAGGAAAAGGATTGACATTATTCAATACAAGGCAAACATTTCATTGGTTTAAGAATAACTGTGTTTTAAGACTACAGCACAAGGACTGTGATTTGATACCACTGTGTCACACGTGACACTGCCTTAGTGACAGTGTTTAATCATTAATGGGATATTCAAGCTCCCAATACTGCTCAAGCATTCGACTGATTCCAGGAATTGGAAACATATTAAAAAGCTTCCCTAATACGAAACAAGCCTCATTAGTATACATCAGTCATCGATGTACAGTTATAACCTGGTGTTACCAAGCAGGGAACTTCATCAGCTGCATATCAGATTTCTTTTAACTGTCTCATAGTTCCTGGGTTTATGCCAAGTCTTCATTAGAAAAAAATCTCCTTAATTATTTTCATCCTTAGGTTACTGATATATAGCCCTAGTTTAAGTCCTTTCTAAAGCATTGCAGTTTCTTATTGGTTTTGTTTGGCTTTATTACTTCCAGTGTAACAATCTCCTATTTCCAGAGTCAAAACAAGTAGTTTCACCTCATTTCAAGTTGCAAGTAAAAGTGTGATTGCTTATTAAAGGACCAGAATTAACTAATTCACCCATAGCTTCATTAACCCAGAATCACAAATAGGTGCCTGCATCTAGACGAAGCTTGTCAGGCTGCAGGTGTCCTGACAGAGTGACTCAGTTGCCTGCTGCACCATTAACCTAGTTCTTTGCTTTTGTAACCTACGCATTTTGCACCTCTAGGTAAAATTCACCATCCTTTAACAGCTCTCCGTGCTTACCTTTATTCCAGGCTCCTGCAGTTTTGTACCAGTGACCTCTCTTAAAGGAATCTCCATTTCTGCTAAAACCTTTTGCCCTTCTGAAATCTGCTTCCGTAGAGCGTTATAATCCTCAATCAAGCCAAGAACGTGGCGCCCGTTTCTGTCTGCCCACATCCGATGCCCGGGCACGAGGCGAGGGGTGCAAGCTGTGCTGGAGGATGAGGTGCTACTGCAGTGTGAAGTGCTGTCTACGTCGTCTTTAGAGGCTGAGTGTGTACCTGGAGCAGAAAGAGTTTTAATCCTTACATGTAGAACTAACCATTCTACGATTCCATGACACAAGACTCGTCTTAAACAGCAAGCCTGGGTTATTGATAACACACGTGTTAAAGACACGTTGGGATGTACCTGGTTTCACTAGCGAAATGCGATGTCCATGCTTCTGTACCTCACAAATCTTTCTGCTGGCAGCAGGGCATTTGCACCGATTTTCTATATATAAAAACAGGACAAGGGAGAGTACGTAACATTAACATGCATAAAAAACAATTCATAACTCTGTGTCTGTTCCCTTTTTTTGCTGATGCTACATTTGGGCTCAGGAAGCAAAGAAACAGTTAATTTTCTAGTACCGCACCATCTATCTTCCAGTATTTACGCACATTTACCTTTTTAGCATCTATCCCAAGTCCTAGGTACCTCCCAAAATCAAATCTAAAATACATCCTGATGAAGACATTTTAATCAGCATATGCAATCTTCTCATTAACACCACAAGCATGACACCTTCCACAGCTATAGCATAAAGATCATATCTGTATTCCCCACTCTTCAGACCTTCCAAATTCCCTAAGTACCTATGAGTAAAGACTAATCACAGCACATGTAAAAAGCTAACAAATTCAGCTGTTGACATTCCAAGGAGTTTTTCTGGTCCGTATCAAACCAAGCTGTTATAACTCAATTCACCACTTTCTTAAAGAACAAAGGAGCATCTCCAGTTCCTCTCTACTCTACCTGACACAGGTCAAAAGCAACATCTAGGTTTCTATCTAGAACAAACCAGGAACAAATACAATTTGGGGACACTGGTGGTACAAGTTCCCCACAATAGCTGTTCCACACCTACTTGATCATGACTGGCCCTAAGAAACCATCCCCCTATGGAGCACAGACTGTAATTTAGTGTTCAAGTATGAAGTGCACAGAGAAAAGTAGCAACCCATAAATGTTATTTGCTACATTCAGCATCTTTCTTTCTTGTATGGAGTAGACTTATGCTCATTATGTATTTCATCTGAAGTATGATTCTGACTGGATGCATGTCCAGTCATGATATGGACACACAAATAAGGTGGTAAACCCCCTGTTGTGTCTCATAAGCTCTCACGCTAACCCTCTGGCTAATGGGTGCTCTGGGTGGTACATAAGATTTAAGTAGTCATGTTCAGTTGTATGGACCCAAAAAGCCCCATTATTATTGGTTCCCATACCACGATGTAAACCTACAAGCAGTAAGAGAGGTGGCTTTATGCTCGAAGTATGGAAAGCTGTTACTATGCAAAATACTTTAGCAGCAAGGAAAGAATATCCTTGTGCCCTCTGAGATGGTTTAGTGTGAGGCGTCCCTGCTCATGGCAGGGGAGTTGGAACTTGATGAACTTAAGGTCCTTTCCAACCCTAACTGTTCTATGATTCTATATTGGGACAATAATCTAACCCTGAGTGTAAACACTACATTTTCCCTGATTTGCTAAAGCAGTATCACTTAACAGTGATTGAAATAAAGGTAAAGTATTCCTCAAGGGCAAAAAGGGAACAACTGATTCATAAAAAAACCCATGTAGTGTACTTATTGATCATTCTTGAATAATATATACTTGCCCTTAGCAAACATTATAGAGCTCTGCATCCAAAAAAGAACCCCCAGGTAAGCAAAATGTATGGCAATTTAATGTAGGCAACCTTCCATCCCAGAGCCTGTCTGCAAATGCTTTTCTGGAAGGAAAAGGAAGTGACAGTTGGAGGCTGTAAGACAGTGTGTATGTGAAATGCTCTAAGAGAAAAGGGATCAGGAAGGCTGATGGGCAGCTCCTACACGTGCAGTCAGTGTTGTACAAGGCTTTAAGAGCATCTGTAAAGGACAAGGCACAGGTTTTACAGGGTAACAAAAGCATGTACGGCACAGTACCGTTCATTCCTGCATAATGCTGAGATTCTTGTCTCAAAAGATAGTTGATATTTAGAGCTGACACTGCTTTCACTTCCTCTTTCTTGTCTTTTGAAAGCTGTTCCTCTAGTCTTTCATGCAAAGACTTGTTTGTCTCGATGCTCCTCTCAAATTGCACTCGCAAACTCTGGATTTCAGTCAACAGCTCGTGTAAGTCAAGTGGATTATTCTGATCTTTCCAGAATTCTTCTGCTGCATCACATCTGGGATCTGAGACAATTTGAACAGAAACACTTCACATCTTTAGCAATTAAATATTAGCTAGGATCAGAATGCTGAGCAAATAAATTCTAGCCAGCCTTATCCTTGACATTACGAATGAACTACAAACAGCATTAAGATAATGGTTTGACAAAAAAGCATGTCTTAATTGCTTTTACCCTTGAAAGATTTAAAGAGCCCCGAATTATTTTTCACTTTGTCCATAAAAGCTAAGAAGCTAAAAGCAAACCAAAAAAAACACAATAAAAACAAACATGAAGAGGATTTACAAAGTGCATTAGTGCACAGTCTGGGGCAGTGAAAAGGAATAGGTAATCTGAGCTCGGAGGAGGGATGAAGTAGACTTGGGAGTTTCATTTTATACACAGAAAAGCAAAGCGAATAATAGTGATCACCTGGCAACCAGAGGAACAAATCTGAACCTGAAAAGCAAGGGCTGTGTTTGGCTTTCCATAGAAGGAGGTCAGTGCACAAACAATTCCATGTATCCTTTCATGCTGAAATCCAACTGTTCTCCAGACAGTGGGGAGGCGCTCAACTGCATGAGGAGAGTGCTGCTACTCTCTAATTACATTACCGGTTCTGGAGGGGATTTACTTCCATCCTTGAGCCAACTTTGGCTTAAAGCCTTATGCTAACAGGGCTCTTCTGCTGCAGCTATGCATGAAATACAAGTGATGGCAGGGCATATTACTTAAAGAAGCAGGAAGAAAAAACAATCAACTTTTACAAGCACTTCCAGTGGGAAATATGCTGGATGCCGTAATGAGTAAGCAGCAATGAACAGCATTCCACTTCTTTACCTAACCACACCAACAGCTTTGTGATAGTATGGATTTCTTAAAAGGGGTAGGAAGAACTTACGTCAGTGTCACTCCTCACCTTTAGTGACAGAAAATCAGGCAGGAAGTAATTAAACATCCCATTCAGAAGGCAGTGCCAGTGCTTCTGCCCTCCCTAGGGAGAAGACACTACTCTTGGATTCAGACAAGAGAAGGCACATCCTGAGTAAGCACTACCTGTGAGGATGCAGCAGCATGTGTTTAGATGACAAGTAAATATCAAATTCTAGATGACAGGTAAAGCTCCCCATGAAGCTTATCCATCCGGAGCCGCTGAACCTCGGTATTTGTTTTTAGCTTAGCTAAAAAGCTAAAGGAAACTTGGGTATGCCAAGTCAGAACATAGCACAGATCTCAACCTCACAGCTGCATTCCAAAGGTAAAAAGCAATATTTTATCAAGTTGTCAGTTCTTTGCATAGCAGGAGCAAGTAGAAACAGCAACCTAACTACCTGTCCTTTTGACAGGGTTGTATTCAGAGAGCAAAGGGTTGCAAGGGCTAAGGGTGTAGAAACGATGTGCATTTATACCTGTCCTCTTCCTTCTTGCTTCTTCCAGCTTCTCATAAACCTTGATCTCAGTTCGGAGTGACTGCAGTAACTTCTCATTCTCAGAGAACTGATGTTGCTTTACATTAATTTCTGTTTGCAACCTGTGAAATCCCAATAAATACCTAAGTTAAAAGCTCAATTTGCTCCAAAATCCAAAACGCATTCCCCCTTCCTCAATCATTCTTCCCTTGCCTTTGGAATATATCTATGCACCTCATTCATGTTAATGGCTATGGCTAAACACGTGCTTGTCACACTGACAATTTTCTTCTCTAAATGAATGTCTAAATGTGGACAGAATCAATACCTGTTTAACTCATTACGACTGCTGTAAATTTGACATGTCAGATATCTGGTTTCATCTTCCTTTTGGCCAATTTGTTTTTGCAGCCTTTCATTTTCTCTCTTGATACATTCATAATCCTCATGAAGATGCTCAATGATTGCATTCTTTTTAGAAAGAGATTCTCTCAGCTTTTCATTTTCCTTCTGTTTATCTGAAACAAGAAGAACACCAGGTATTTACAGAGCCCACAGCCCACCAAAGCTATGCGCTTTAACAAAACCAGCTTTTTCAGAGACTGCCAAAAAATCACAGCTGCTCTTTTGAGTTTTAGGATCTCAGCATTTCAATTTTCTAATGACTTTTGCTAGATATATTTTCTGTAATAGGACTTATAATGGCTCAATAAAAACCTGTGAACAGCCTTATAGGCCAAATGCCCCCAGCACCTCTTGGGATTTGGTCAGAAGGACAGTATTCAGCAAATAGTGGATCTCAAAGCAGGTACACGAATTTTGCCAATCCTCGCCAAATAATGGATTTGACTTCTCTTGAGGAGGAAAAGATCTCAGTGGGATTGTTTTAGGGCACGTTGTATCCATGTTCCTCCCTGTACTCTCTTTCCCAGCCCTATTCATCTGCCAAATGTACCATATATCAGTCCTTCCCTTGGCACAAGCCATTTCCCCAACTGGTCTTGTGACATGGAATTGCTGACAGGGACAACTGAACATTGAGATAGATACACTCATAGAGGCTTATCGGGACCCCAAGTTTTCCATGACCCTACATTTAGCACTGGAAAAGACAGTGTCAATCTTGGCAATGAAACAATCATTCCATCTCCCAGTAGTTAGAACCCTTCCTTCATCTTCAGTACTCTTGTTGAAAGTATATGAAAATGGTAACCCCCACATGTTGTTAAAAATGTACATCACCAGCCCTTCACTACTGGAAGGCCAAGCTAAGACTATAGACAGAAAGCACCTGAGGCCAAAACATGCAGGAGGTATCTAAGAGGCTTTTCTTTCTCTAGTGCATCCAGGACTAAAAGGAAAAGAAGCTCCCAAACTCCAGAAATACTGACATTATTTTTACACACAAGGGCAACAATGTTCTATTCATCGTGCTTCTTCTAAGAAAGAAACCCTGATATTATCAGATCATATTGTCAACATGGAAACAAAAGCAGGAATATATTAATTAAACAAGTAGAACTTGCAGACACTGATAAGCACCAAGATGTACCAGAACAAATGAGGGAATACATAACTCTGGAAGAGGCACCAGTGCTTTTACACCACCTGAAATCATGGAGACTTATAAACTAATGGTGGCTTAAGCTGCTTTTAAACCCCTACATGGTGAGTTGTTCATTGTCCTGGGGGAAAAGGAGAGGGAAGACTTTAATATTCTGTTTTCACAGGTGGGAAAATGAGGGAAGTTAAAAGTTAATCTCAGAGATTACAAATACTTACAAAGGGATTCCCTCAGTTCTGTTCTCCTCTGAAGTGTTTCCAAAAAGATGGCTTGGTCATAGAATGATGGAATGGTTAGGGTTGGAAAGGACCTTAACATCATCTGGTTCCAACCCTGGACTGGTCTGTCCAGTCAAGCCTCTGTAGCAGACTATGGAATCTAAGTGTAATTAGTTTGCTTCCTTTTGCAACTGTTCTGTACTGAGTGGTCACATTTTCAGCAATAATGCTATCCTATGGATTGTTTTTAAAAGGGTTTCAGAATGGAAGCATTGGGAAAAAGGAGGAAGCAAATGGTAATAAAAGGCACAGGGGGAAGAAGAAAAAGAATGTATAGAACCAAAAGGAATGCAAAAAGAAGCACAGAGAAATGAAAGGGAATATCAAATGGAAAATGCTACAAATCAACAGAAAGAAGGAGTATTACTGCTACTTCTTTATCATTAACTCCAGTTTGAATGCTCATGGCTGAGCATGGAATTTCAGTGGTGGGAAGAAGAGTTAAGTCAGTTTAATGAATGGCCTGTTAATATTTCATTGTTTTCTGATGTGGAATGACTAGCTGTCATCCTTACCTCTGGATCTTTCATTCAGAACTTGATTTTGCTTCCTCAGGAAATGTATTTCAGAAGTCAAGGAATTATGCTGCTCTGAACCACGGTTAAAAATGTTTGCAGAACCTATAAATATATACAGAAAAGATGATTTATGACTCATCTCTAGGTCATTAAAGATTAAACCTTCCAGACAAGAACAATTTAAGAAATTGCAGAAAAATCTGTTATCAAAGAGATTTCTCCCCTCTCTATTTTGAAGGTTATCCCCACAGACTAAAAGGCAGTTCAGGTTAATGCCAAGTAATCCAAAGTACCTCTCATTGCTGGGCAACCATACCAAAATGGCAAAATTATCCCTGGCAGTCCTTACCTATCCACTAATACTCCAACAGGACAAAATGCAGGAGGATTTTGTAACACTGCTATTCTTTGAAAGTTATGCAAACTGGAGGAAGGTTTCCCATATATTTCAGTCTGGCTCTGATCATACCCTTTTGTATTTAATGATACCATTGCAAAGGACCACTAGATTCTACTAACTAATCCACGATGCAGGAAGTAACGTCAATAGTCTGGCAACAGATTTGTTACCGCACAAGCCTAGAACTTAAGGCTGGAGACACTGTCTTTGCCTCTGATTACAAACCAAGAACCCATTTATGATCACAGGGATGAAGATTCATCCCTCTTAAATTCATGTGTCTAAAATTTAGATAACTGAGCCAGTGTGGATCAGCCATCATGGGGAGAAATGGGCACCACCATAGAGCTACTCATGAGTAAGTCTTCTCTGCAGATGAGATGCCCTGTTTTCCAAAGGGAAGTACAACTCTTCAGTGCTTCCATGAGAAGTTCTGAGTAACCAGCACAGACTTAGATGTCTATCTTTTAGAAACTTAAGAATCCTGTGATCCTCTGAGGATCTTTCTTACTGCACTAGTTGTATAAAGTGTTAACTTGCATATCCAGTCAAATTCAGCCTAGGTTATCCTCACAACGCACTGTATCTTTGCTACTCATCCCACAGCAATGTGTAATGTTACAGTACAGTCTGAAAAGTGACACATTCCACTCTCCCTTGAGAGAGGGCTGCCTCTGAAATCAAGTCAAGTAACTGTTATTGCCCTTTATAACTTGCTTATAGTCAGTAAAACACTTCAGGACCCACGGGAATTAATGTTACTATTAAGAATAGTTTTCAGTTGATTGGTTATCCCAGTATATCCTACACTTTAAAGCTTCAGACAACTACATGAGTGTCAACTATTTGGTTAATGGAGAAATAACCAGCTGGCACAAAAATTAGGTGAATGTATGAGGAGGATGCCTTTCAGCTCTGGAAGTTCACTTCAATTTGATGTGCTGCACTTCCTCTGAGTAATCTCATTTTTACTGTAATCCCAATTGAAGCTTTTACCCACTACCTAACTGGGATGTAGTGTGCCATGATATGCACCTCTTGTCGTTACTGAAAGACTCAAAGGCTCTAGAAGCCTGGCACTAATGGCATTTTACTATCTATATGTTAAAGAGTAGAAGTAGCTATGCGAACTCAAAAGGCTTTTCCCTTTCAGATTCCAACAAAGCAATTCAACTTGAAGTGGCAAGGCTTGATGGTCTCATCTTGATTCTAATTTAATTTATTGCCCATCACCCAGCTTTATCCTATTTGACAAGTTATGCTATCACAGTTCTACTGAAAGGCTTTAGAATATAACTACCAGTTATCTTACATAATAAGGGATAATGTAGAGCCAGTGGTAATAGGGCCACAATCCTGCAATTTGACCCACTGCCGAGATGACTACTGCTGTGCAGAGCCCTGCTGACATCAATTACGCTCTCCATAGATGCAAAAGGTCTATCTAGCCACAGTAAAGTGGAGCGTCAGGGCCTACAATTGCAATACACTTGAGTCTTCATTATGTTTTGTGCTGAAAAAAGTGAGTGCTAAGGAAGCGTACCTTGATGGTTTCAAAGAAAACACTGACTGAAAGACAGGCACTGCTGAAAACCACAGCCAAGAGGAAGCCAATATTCATTCCCAGTAAAGCAAAATAAAGGCATACTAAAGCTGAAGTCTGAGTAGATACATTAGTTACTTATGGGCTAAAAATAAGGGAAACAAAACCCCCTTTTAATGTTAACTGCCATTAATAAGATCTGAAACCTTGGAAACTCAAAATGAAACCTTTGATTTGATTTGGAAGCCTAACATTTGAAATTATAGAAGCAATTATTTCAGTTCTCCTTGCACTGCAAACCTCAGCTCTACAGTAACGATGTAGTCATTACCAGCACTCGAGTCATTTATAGACTACTAGAAGCCCAGAGGCATTTAAACACTTTGAGAATCTAAATATTAGAAATAGTATAGCAAAAATAGTGGGCAGATGTGTGTACAAACATCCATCTAATATTCAGCAAACAAGAATAAATCTGTGCATTAACTCTGATTGAACAAACAATAATCACACAAATTTAACAAGCTTTCATCAGCAATTAAGTATGTTACAACTTGGTTTCGGTTTTTGATGGAAAACAAACTAAGGATATTAAGTTAAAACGTTGAACTATTATGTCCCAAAGCTAAAATCTGTTTCGGCTTCAGTACGGGACTCATTTTTGCCCTTAAAGCCAAAAAAAAGCCCATCTATTAGGAAGAAAAAAGGCATCATTACTAGCAGAGAGGATATCCATATTGATAACATGAAAGAGATCTTCAAAACAAACAGGAAGCACTGAGAGATCATAGTAACAAAAATGAGCTGTTCTAACAGGTAGTTCCTTCTTTCTCTTCCAGATTTCCCCTCCATGCATTTGCAGATGCACTAAGGCAACAAGAAGACAGATGGAAGGTAAAAGACAGTTTATAAAGAAAATATACTTTCACTGCATTAATGGATGCCCTTGCCAGAATCTTTATGAAGCTGTAAAAGAGTTGGAAGTGTTTCAGTGTGGTTATTTCATGGGAACAGTATGCCTTTCCAGCAGCGTAAATACTTCATGAATGAAATGGATGCTTTTATACACCTTTCCATCACTGTAAATTATTCCTGAAAGCCAACTGCTATTTGCAGGTAGTCTCCATTTAAACAACAACAGAAGTGGATCATGGGGATGATGTAAAACATAATGAATCTAATGTCAACATTAGTGAAACTGAGTAAAAGGAAAACATGTAAGTATTTATTGCCTGCTTCCAGTCTGAGTAATATTGCATATTAATCAGTTGTCCTATGGGGAAAAACGTGGGAAGGAGAACAAGAACGGAATAAGATTAGGAAAGTATGCCTGGTATGGTGTGCTTGAAAAGATGCTGCAAAAGCATCCCCAGTGAGAGCCTGGCTACCCTCCTGTTGGAAGTTTTAAAGGTACCACAGAGTTTGAGTTTCAAAAATGCTGAACACAAGCAATGGCGAGCTGTGACTCTGAATTTGCATGCCTATTTTTAGTGGTTTTCATCCACTGCTTTATTTTAGAGTTTGGAACGAAAACCAATTTCCATCAGTTGCTGTCAGGTATTTCTTATTAACTCGGGATGTTATTTTGTGCAGGAGACATTTCTGACATCAATCAATTCAAATGACAAGCTGGATCTAGGCTCTCTCTTACAGATATTTTGTCCCTGTATGCGAATACAAGCTGGCTTCAAAGCACTCAGAAAATTCCAGAGGAGGCATGTCCCAACAGTCCTGTTAGCAGTGCTGCTGTACTGACCACCTCAGGTATACATGGAGTAGGCACAGGAAAGCTAATTCCACAAAACTCCTACTTTGGATCAATAGCAGCAATGTAATTTAGAACAAAGCACCTCCTCCTGTATTCAGAGTGGGTCCAGGCCTCACTGAAAGTGTGTTGGCAAAAAGGGCTTCTTCTCCTGCAGCTATCCCTGGCTGAACATGGCAGAGAATGAAAAGAAGATGACATCCTAGAATCCATGATCATTACAACAATAATGATATCCCAAAGGCACAATAAAGGAACAAAAAAAAAGCAGGCTATTTGTTGATAACAGAAGTAGAAAGGTTTCAATTCCCTGTTATGAAATTCAAGCACAGCATCATCAAACACCATAAAACTACCTGGTTGTCCTGTTCTCTCAGCACTACACGCAATTGTAGGCTTGAGGCTGTGTCGTGTTACCTCACAGAGGTAGAAATAAGATTTGTGCATCAGTCCTGGATACAATTCAAGCGATGGACTTGAGGAAGAGGCACATTAAGTCTATGTTAATGCTATTGTGCACACAGCATGGTAAAGCTGTGTCTGCTGCTGGAGCTCAAGATGCAGCAGTGCTCAGAGAAAGACCCAGCATTTTCCAAATGTGAAGGGGTGGGATTTAGCCTAAAAAGCACACAAAACGTTTCCAGCAGCATTTCATCCCTCACACTTTAAAGCAGGAAAAGTGGATTTTGTTTGCTATGGAATAAATCCTTACCTTGATCTAGTTCTTTGTCCATTACTTGTCTCTCAAGCTGCTTCCTCAGTCTCTCATTAGTTTTTATGGAGTATTCTAAACGTCGTCTCAGGATTCTAATTTCTTGCAGATGCTCCATTAGTAACTCTAAATAAACCAACAGACCACTTCTTATTCAGAGTAAATGATTGTATTCCCTTATACTGTGTACTCCTGTCAAATCTAATGTGAGTTAACACTAAAAAATAATACAGAACTGCTCAAACTGGTAGACATTGAGTATCTGACACCACAAGAACATTTTTCCATATGAAAAATGGAATGAAAACTCCATTTTAACTTAAACAACAGCCCAGTTTTAAGGCTCCTTAAACAACTTCTTCCTACAAAACTGTAGTAGATAACAAATTTGCCCGGTAAAAACATTGCACATACTGGGAAACGAATCCAAAGTTCTGCAATGCAGCTTCACATTCAGGCTCAACACACCAACAGTATATATTTTATCTTCTAATAGTGGGAAGCTTACCAGAGTAACTCAGATATCAATTTGACTTTGACTTACACAATGCATGCCACAATAAATGCATCTCTTCTACCAAATTTCATTACTGTACCTTTCTCTTCTTGCTTTCTCCTTCTACAATTTTTCTTCTGTTGGCTGTGAGCTTGAGCTTCACTCAGGAACTTATCTGTTCTAACTGTCACCACCTCATTTGTCAGTTTATCCATGTCACAAACTCCTGGTTTACTCTGCAGTATTTTCCCGAGCAGCATGTGCTATCTCAAGCTATTAAATTTTCATCGCTGGCTATAACAAACTACTGCATCACTTGTGCTCAGTGGAACTATCCAGGTCAAACACGACACCACTTATTAATTATGCAGCACTTACAATTCTCAAGGAAACATAACACTGGCTTTTATAAAATTAGAAAAATCTCTCTTTTTCTATGTAATATTCTCTTGACAATTTTCTGTTTTCCCCTTATAACATGTCTATTTAAAGACCGTCTGGAGTACTGTAAAAAGACGGTAGTCTAAAACAACAAAGACACAAAACATCCAAGCTAATTTTGTTTCAAGCAGGAGGCAGTTCAAATCGTTGTCATCTCTAGATGTCTTATTACTGAAATTGCAATGATTATGCCAGGATCCTGGAAAGCTGAAGCAGACAAACATTCTTCATTATTTCTTAATTAGTTCCCTGGTGTCTTATTTAGGGTATTTTTTCCCAATATCCAGTGAATCTTCAGTGGGGGAATAAATTACCTGGGGGAAACTTGTTTGGCAGAAGCTCCAGTGTGCCATGCTGTCCTTCCAGGTCGTGCCTGGGCTCGGGTGAGCCAAGAGATGACTTTTCTGACAAATCAAAGTCAGACAAGCTATGAAGAGCAGATGGTACAGGTGACTCCTCCTTCAGTTGCTGGTACATAGCAGTGTTCTTCTCGTTATCCCTTTTGTGCCAAACAAAATGTTTTCAAATACAGAAATTGGTTTATTACTTTAGAAGCATGAATAGAGAGCACAGTGGCAAATGTACAGGAGTGAATTTCTGTGACAGAACATGACAAACCACAGTAACAGATCAAAACTGAAATCCAGACCTCACTGAAGTCAGCAGGAAGAATCAATGGACCTTCAGGCCTGGTTTATGTCCCAGCACTAGGCAGTTACCATTGAGTTAAGGGGACCTCAAGCTGCCTTGAACAGGTAGCTGAGGATTTCTGTAGCACAGAAGAATCCCAGGCTGGCATAAAACCAACACATGCAGCATAACACCACCTGCTCTCTTCACCTTCAGCATAAGGGTAATAGAGAACAAACTGCACCAGCACCATGCTCCAGTCATCCTGAGCCAGTCCCCAAGGTCACAGCAACAGAAAGGTGGCTGAGTATCCCTCCTGGCAGCTGCAGTGAGGGTAATACCTGAGCACACACAGTGTCTTATGGCACATGTTTTGTTTGTTCATAAAAGAAACAAACCTGGTAGCTTCTCAGTATCTCAGTGTGATGAGAAGTGGGGGGAAAAAAAGGCTTAGTTTCATTTCTATGGGTATTTTATTAACTAAATATATATTAGTGAAATATGCAACATAAGCAAAGCTCCTCCAGAAAGCAAAAGAGTGGAAGTTGTGCTACAAAACATGGAGCATCCTTATCAACTTAACAACCATTTGGTAAACATTCAGTTGCACTCTTACCTTTGAGCTAATTCAAGTATAGTAACTTCTGCCCCTATTGCTTCTCCTGCAAAGCAGAAAGATCTGGTTAAAAACAGATATTGATAATGATAATTTTTCCCCCTCCATCTTCAACTATTTATATACAGAATGGTAAATTAAGGAGAAATTAGAGAAGCCAACAGATACTCAACACACTGCGTATTAGTGTCAAATGCACAACTATTTACAGCCCAGCAACAAAGCAATATTCTCTGGAGTTCAAAAAGAATTACGAGGTACCACAGGTGCCCAGATTTTATGGCTTTGGTGTTTCAGTTAGCACACAGATGTAAAATATTGTGCTATATAGCAAAAGGACTGGGCCTACATGCCATTATATCTTCAATTAAAAAAATACATAAACCCAATTCCATCACATTTGGATTTTGTCCACCCAGGCTTATCAGTTATCCTCAATAAAGGGGCATACACAGGATTTTGCTTCCAATATTCCCAATGGCGTGCACAAGCACAATCCAGTGCAAGAGAGCTGGATTCAGACACTGATTTAACAAAGGAAATAAAGAGTTCTGTGGTGTCCCCCTGGCTCCCCATATTCTGACTTTTTAGTGCCTTTAAGCAGAGGTGGAAGGCAAGAGCTGCACAGCTGCAAATGCAGGGGAATGAACTGAAGGTCAGGATGGAAATGCAGAGACAGACGGTTGTTGATGCTTCTTTACAGTCAATTCTTAGTACGCTGGCTGTTCTTTATAACCCTACAAACATCATTTTACTTTAATGTGTGATTCAATGCAGCACCATTGTGTTAGATATATTGAATTGTCTCGGTTGTCAGTGTCTTTTCATAGTATATAGGGTACCATCTGTTGGTTTAAAGGCATTTAATGTTTATTCACTACAGAGTCTTCTCATTTATAATGCAAGGAATCTGTAGCCACTGAAATCTTTGAATACATTCAATCTTTTATTACACTATGCTACGACACAGTAGCCATAATACCTTTTTCTCATATACAGCTCCTTTATATGAGCAATTGAAACTGCAACATGCTGCCACTACCTTTAGTGAAAGGCAGAATACAGATCATTGTATGGCTGGGGCCTGGATGGTTCTGAACAAAGTGATCTTCTGGAGCTAATTCTGGGAAGATGTGGGGGTCAGAAGCCCTATTTCAAGCCAGCTCAAGTGTTTTGCTGAGGGTGGCAGTTTTGTACTGACATCTGTGGAAGTATCGCTTTTGGGTCAGAAAGAGCAACTTTGTGATGATAGGAAAAGGTCCTTCTTGCTGAATTTCGCCCATGAAAGCATCCCTTTTCCAGCATTGTGCTGCTAACTTTCTTCCAGCTATGGACTGAAGGCAACATGTACAAGGTACCCTTCCTTCAGGTGATAAAGTTTGACTTTGATGCTCACTTTACCAAACATGGTTGCATTGTAGCTCTCTGTTATGAAAGACAGAGTGCTTTTCTTAACAAGCTGGACTGCCTGGCAGCAAGATGCAGGTCTCTTAGGAAAATTACTAGAAATGGTAATTTTAATAACATATATATATATAGGAATAATGTATGTCCTGACATGGTTCCACTTAATGCTTTGCCAAAGAGTAGGTGGGAAAACTGCGATAAACTGCTCCCATTTTTCAGACAACATGACAGTTCTCACTGATAATTCCAAGGGCTTTGCTCACAAGTACACATTACAATGTCCTTTCCCAGGTTATGCACTCCATTGAGTGTTTGGCTTTCTCTAACACAAGGCCAACACTTCTCTACTTGACTTCCCCTAGGACCTCTGCTCAGAAGGCTCTTATTCTATTATGCCCTACAAATATGCACTGATTTGCAATACCACAGTCTCTAACTCAAGAGCTACTCAAAATTCTGAAGGAATTCTCCTCTGCCTTCTAACCAAACAGATTTTCCCTTTCTCCCCCCTAATTGTCCATGTGCACCATTTGGGTGGGTTTCTCTGTGATATCTATGGTCCTTTTTCTTGGTATATTGCATGACATCTGATTTTATACCTGCATATGATTTAACTTGTGTTATCTCTACAGGAACATCAATTGGTATTATCTCCCAGCTGTCCAATGCAAGATTCCCTGTGGTTTCTTTAAAGGAACTGGCCATAGAAATCAGCCATGTCATATACGGCTATAATCATTTCTATATATTAGAGTCAAAGTTAAAAGTACAGTCCTGATGTCTGCACTGCATTTACCCTTCTTCCAAATGACTGCACTTTAGGAGAAAAACTTTAGGAACTTGTAATTTTGGGGGGTTTAGTTCAATATAGATTGTGTTAAAAAACAACTGTAAGAACCCTTCAATGGAGGTATCTGGTGCTCAGGCTCAACAAATCAGCTGGGCTGGTTCCTGATACAGAAAATCATAAAGCCTACTTGCAACTAAACTTCTAATAAACTATAACCACTATCTTTTAAACAGTTAAAATATGCATATGCTGAGATAAACAACTCAAAATGGAAGGTGTCAACACAGAGGATAACTACAGGAGCAAAACCGAGTCTTTGTGGAGCACTAAAATTGTACTTCCCAAGACAGTCCTCACTATAAATCATTCTAAAACAGCCAAGAGGAAGTAAGGTTTTCTTTCCTCTGAAAAGAGGAAAAAAAAACCCTTCAAATTTCAAGAATGTTAATATATTTCAGCCAAGAAGCACAAAATACTCCTACTTACCATACAGGAATTGCCCTTCTAGCTTCCCGAACAGTAGCACACTTTGATTCAGTTGTTCACGGAAGCCTTCAGCAACATAATAATCTACATCACTGGCTTGAAGCAGTTCCTCAAAAGCTTTAATAAGGCTCGTCAGATGCTGATGGTAAGTGACACAACCACTGCGGATCTCTTTCATTTGCTGGCGTTGGAAGGAGACTTCTCGAGGTTGGGAATGAACTAATGAATCATAGCTGAGAAAATGAAATTAGCTTTCAAGTCATTTTCTGACCATAAGGAACGTTTAAGTATACATAAAAAGAGAATTAAACTTATATTCCTAAGTTATCATTTGATGTGACTCAATTTGCTTTTAAAATGCTTTTACAGCTCCACGATGAGAAATGGATCGTCTCTAACTGGCGAGTTTTGTATTTATGGGCATAACTTGTGGGTTATTATCCTTCATTTATAAGATGGGCAGAAATTAAGGTGATGACTTGTTTGTCTGCTTGAAAATAACCTCGATGGCACTCAAAGGTGCCAAATGAAAGTAAGTATGAGTGAATACATGAAAAGAATCTTTTAGAATACACATATTTTTCTGACTGGTTGGTTTTGTTCTTCCATAGTGAATTAAGAAGAAATCCAACAATAGAGAGCTGTCTCCTCTACAACTTCTTGTACTTACTGCCAGGAGCACAGTATTGGACTTTCTGAGCTGATGGGTTCACCCAGTCTGAAAATTCTCCATGTCTCTCCATGTTTATTACAAGAGACTATGGCCATGACAAACGCTGTAATGTCCAAACTCTTGTACTCCACACACCAGGATATAAATCTCAACTCAGTTATTCTGCACTTGCAAATACAGATGCTCCTTTTATAGTGCCACTGTCTGTATCACAGATTGACTTCTTTCTATAGAATTAGTGGAGAAAAAGGCAGAGGAAATGGAAAGATGCAGGGAATCAAGGAAAATATGCAGCATAAACAAAATGTACTATGGTGTGGGTTGTTATAGGATTTTTAGCATCATTGCTATAAGAAGAGATGCATAACTCACTTTTGGGCCTGTCACTTGTGACTCATGCAGTTGTCCTAGACAGTGGCCATAAAACCTTTACAGCGATCCATACTGTCTCATCCCTTAATTTATAGCTGGATCTGTCTTTGTGAAATGGATGAGGTATATTTTCAAGGTATGTACATTTATATGTATTATGTAGCACAACTGTATTTTATGTCAGTAATACTAAGAGATATACAGCAGGCCATGTTGGTGGTTGCTTAATGTCTCCAGATATTTCTCTTCAAGCATTCTGAAGCCAAAGGCTGAATACCTTTTTGTTATACTTCCTTAAGGCTCTCAGGACAATATGAATATTAGAGGGGGGAAATTAAAAGGGTGTCACCTGAAAAAAAAAACCCTGAGTATGCAACAGTATAATACTTTAATTACAGAGGTCAGCCCATCTCACAGAGTAATCTGACTTTGCTCAACAGAGGATGTCTTGCAGCAAAGGGAGGTGTGGGGAGAGACAGAGGTATCTGGCGTAGAGTCCTTACCAGAGGATATGAGCCCATCAGAAGCAGTTGTGTTGTAAGAGGAATACTGTTTTGTACTTTGAGGCATATTTGAACTAAACGTTTCAGTGGCTGTATGTTAATGTTAGTGAAATTCAGCCTTTACTATAACAACACACTCCAATGTGAACGAAATTGTCTTCATATTGCCTTCCTGTGTTATTTGGTATTGCTGTCTACAAAAAGGAACCCGAAACAGTAATAGGTTTACTCACTTGGATGGTGATGTTTCTCTCAGTTTGTTCTGAAGATGATACACTTCATCAAGATGCATATTTGCAATTTGCTCTTTTTCAAGTTCTGCCTCATTTGCTGCTAGCAGTTCCTTAAGGTTTTGTGCTGTCCAAGTATCAGGTGCTTTTGAAGACACTGAATTCCTATTTTCAGGGTGATTCTCATAATCCACCAGCTGATGGACATTAGAACACGGTTTGATCCCTTGCACAGCTCTGTCTTGCACTTGTGTAACATGTCCTTCCACAGGCAAGGCTGCGTCACTTAAAGCTATATTGGAAACACCACTCAATAAGAACTGGTCAGAGGTCTGTAAATGAAACACAAACATTTTGTACTTCTCAAGCTCAGACTCCATATTCTTAATTCTTTCTTTCATTTCTTCTATATCCTCTATGACTGCACAGTCATCAAGTGCATCTGTACTTGTTACACTCAATTTCAGAGAACGCAGGCACTTGGAACCTGAATATGCAGAGGCTGAGTCAATGCCCTCATGTTCTGTGGAATAAAACTCTTCATTTATCTCTTTTAATGAACGCTGGATATTCACATTGCTGATGCTATGATGATTTTGCATATCTGAAAAACAGGAGTTTTGCATGTGAATATTAATATTTCTTTATCTGACATTCTGCTCTTAACAGCACTAGAATGAATTCATTGACTTCTATAATAACAGAATACAAATGCAGAATAATTACAAGCTCTACAATATTAGTTTTGGACTTCTGACCCCTTTCTAAGATTTGCTCATTAATTCAACTTGCACATCAAATATTCAAACCCCCTTCTCATCTTTCAAATAAACAATAGGCAAAATACATCTGCTTTCTTTGCCCAAATGCTTGAAAATGACTTTTGCTATAGGCAGTCCTGAATCAGACACCAATGAAGCCCAGACCTTTCCAGCCACAATGATGACAACCTCAAACATAAGGCACCGAGATTTAATAGTAGACTCTATGACTTCAAATGGTTCTTCCTAAAACTTCTAATTAAATACTTTTCACTCCAAAAATCTATACAAAACCAACTGGAGCAGAAAGTCAGTGGAATTGTAAAAAGATCATCAACAAAATTGTAAAATGTGAAAAAAGGGCTTTAATAACTTCTTTTTAAAATCCATTAATACGTTCAGTGTTAAAGGTTTTACTGGCACTCATTTGGCATGCACATCACATCCCTTAGCTGACTCTGCCATTCATAAGTAATGCAATCACCCCAGCTTCACACCAATAAAAGCTATATATTCCTACATATATTCTATGTTTATAGTTCTGGGCATGTTGAGGGCTTCTATGTGTAAAGTATCTTGGAAAATGGTTATTTTCTGGTTACAAGTAAATTAAATTTTCCCCTTCTATTAGTTCTGCAAAAGATCACTATGAATTAGAACCTCCCTTCTGGGAGTCATTCATTGATCTTGCAGAGGTCTTAATACTTTCAAATTGGTTTCCATGGAGAATCCGAATGCCCAGGTTCAAGCTCTAACTCAGTATAAAGTCTCAGGGAGGGGGGCAGCTGTATATGAAAGTCCAAGTCAAATGCAAGAGAATAGAAACAAATATAACCTAAAAGCCAGAAAAACATGAAGCTGGGATATCAACTTCTTTGAAATTAAGGCTAGATGATGTTTGCAGTACACGGATTGCTGCACAGTATTATGTATGTCATTGGAAAGGTGACACAATCACAGGACAGAAATGCATCCAAGAAAATGCCTGTGTATGAATCTGAGAAGATGCATTGACTAAGGGAATGCAACACTCAAATTCATTATCATCTCCTCCTTCTCTACCACCTGGTTGGCTGCATTAACACAGATGTCAACTGAGATAGAAAAATCCTAGTATTAAATGACCTCTTAAAACCTGTCATCCTGATTTCATGCAGAAGTTCAACATAAGAAGAAGAGGAAATAAAATCAGGTATTAGGGCAGAAATAGTCCTGATTAGAATACTGGTTATAGTTCTTAATGAAACACTGCCCTTTAGTTAAGGTCTCTGTACAACTACGTGTTCACACACACAAAGGGCATGATCCTGTGAATCAACTGCCCAGCTTTGATGAAACTACGTACACAAAGGATGTGAGAAAGGATTACCAAATTGGCCATATCCTCTATAAGACAATACGCTAATCAGGTTATTCAAGCCATCCCCAAAAATACTAATGGGTGATGCAGAAACACGTAATACACAGCACTAAATCTGTTTACATTTTCATTAAACAATTCCATTAGGTATCAACCTAGCCGAATGCTTTCAAATAATTCTGATAAGCAAAAATCTATCACTTGGTTGCTTCATTCCAATAGTTCATAACTAGATGCAGAAGCAATAAGTAACAAAGATTTCATTCAGAGGAGAGTTCAGAAGCGAGGACGTTAGCAATCGAGATCAGAGTTAGGCATACAACTCATTAGTTTTACTGGAAACCAGACTCATAAATCCCTGTGGTCCTTCTGAAAGCATAACCCTTAAAAGACCAGCTTGGATTCTTGCAGCAATTAATCCATGCTACCTAAGAAAGCAAGTTTTAAACCCCACAAAGGATGGCAAGGGAGACAATTACCTGCAGTACTTTACAATTTGGCACAATTCAGAAGAGAGTTGAGTTTTAAAATTCCTTTTTTTTTTTAACTATACCATATAAATGCTCTACCTTGATAATTCAGCTGACTTTTGTCCATTGCATATTCATTCTTGCTTTCTGTATTTGCATCAACACCTTGCAGCTCCGCCTGGACCTCACTATTAACCAGTTTGAGGGAGGAGTTGTCTGGAGAAGGTGAAAGAGAAGTCAGTGACTGAAAAATAATGAATAAGGATAGTTAAAAACCCCAAACCAACCACGACCACCTCCAAAAGCACCCACCCCATAAACCCAAATCTAGCTCTCTTACAACCTGGAACAGGAAAATCACCCAAGAACAACAACTGAAAGTATATTACAAACATTACTGGTCACATGAAACAGTGTTTGTATATATTCTTCAAATCCTTGAACTGATTATAAGGATAACTACAAAGATGTGAACTGCAAAGCTTCCTAACACCAAATAAAGGTTTGCAGGTCCCCTTCGTAACGTAACAGTTGTTCAATTTCTAGTGCATTTTTAAATGGTTTATGTTAAGCTTAGAGAAAAGGCTAAAAAGTTTCTCCAATATGAGCATTGATCATAAGCTAATCTTGTGCAATCTCCTATTGCATCAAGTCTCAGAATTCCTAATTGTGCAGTACAGCTCTTAGCCAGGGTGAAAGAATTGGTGTGGAAGGGAAATCTCACGCCTTCAGTCCCAACAGGTTCTCATTGATTTCAGGATCCAAACCACCAGCACCGCCCTTCTCGGAATTCTCCATGTGTTTTGCACCCACCAGTATTATTTGTTCATGGAATCCCAGCCTGGTTTGGGTTGGAAGGGACCTTAAAGCTCACCCAGTTTCAACTGCTGCCACAGGCAGGGACACCTTCCACTAGAGCAGCTTGCTCCAAGCCCCTGTCTCCAACCTGGCCTTGAACACTGCCAGGGATGGGGCAGCCACAGCTTCTCTGGGCACCCTGTGCCAGCGCCTCAGCACCCTCACAGGGAAGAGCTTCTGCCTAAGAGCTCATCTCAGTCTCCCCTCTGGCAGGTTCAAGCCATTCCCCCTTATCCTGTCCCTACAGGCCCTTGTCCAAAGCTCCTCTCCAGGTTTCCTGTAGCCCCTTTAGGCACTGGAAGCTGCTTTAAGGTCTCCCCTTAAGGAGCCTTCTCTTCTCAAGGCTGAAGTCCTATCAGCTTAAGTATTCTCAAGAAAGTAGTGCCATACCTGTCCTTTACCACAATAACATTAGCAACATCTCTGCAACCTCCGCGTTTGACAGTGCTTCACTTGCTGTTTGAGTATATTCTGTTATATTTATACCTCCTCTCTCCCTCACCTATCCTTTCCACGTCTACTCAGTTTTTAATGGAACTGCTAAGCACATGTCTATTTTATTTACCACTCCAAATCTTTATACAACACCCATTGTTCTCTGCCTTACCATTTGTCATCATCCTTTGCCAATCCAGCTGCTTTGTCAACAGCTCAGTTGAAATTCACCCAGCCACACTGGAAACAGACACGGATGACTTGACTGATAGCGGAATATTGGGAAAGCCTCTTTATGCAGCATGAACAAATACAGCATTTTTATACTCTCCTGTCTCCATTACAGACAGGTTTCATTAGACTTGGCATCTCTAAAGGAAATCTTTCGTTGACATATGTGTGCATTTGTGAGCACCCTATGAAACTGTCATTTACTATACACGTTATGCCATGTCTACACAGCACTTCCCATTCCATGTAAAGCTGGTTTCCATTCTAGCAGCAAGGATAGAAGGAAAAAGAAAGGTATGTTTCAAGGTCTATATATATTTGCCTACCCAAGAAATTCGTCAGATTAAGCAGCATTGTACCTATGTAAAACTTATCTGTTTTTACTTTCTACTACAAGAAGAGAAGACACTGTTTCAAGCACTATTACAAGTCATTGTGTCTACTCTTTATTTACCTCTCACTGATCTGCTTTTCTGTCGATCTTCTTGAAGGCTTTCAATCACAGACTCTTTCACCTCTCCATTTGTTTGTGGCTCAATCTGTTCAGGTTGCACTTCACAGGCTTTCAGACCTTCATAGGGTGCCATGCTATGAGGCTGTAGGTTTGAATCTGACTTCTGCGCACAGGAGTTCAAAGGCACGTTTCCTAATGGTCTGTGTGACTTTAAGAGAACAGGCAGACGGGACTTCTTGGGCAGGAAAGCAGAATCAGTCTGAAAAAGGCAGGGAATAAGATGGGCAGTCGGTAGCTTACATCTATAGTCAAGTAAATGAAGTATAAACAGACATTCAGAGAGGAAAACTAAAGGTTTTCCTATAAGATCAGCCAGCTGTCACATTAGTTTTGAAAAGGAGATGGCAACAGCCTTGCAACAGGAAAAACAAGCATTCAGAGCGGAAAACACACCTATCCCACTGATTTCACTTTCTATAGGTAACTGCTGCTTACGCATCCGCAGCCATGCAGGGAATGGCTTCCAGTTCATTAAGCAAGACAGACAATTCACCATTGACTAGCAAAGGCTTTTAATCAGTAGGTGTTTTCGTTAACTCTGAATTGTGTATGGTCTAGGAAAACAGTTTCTCACCCAACCTCACCTCTCCAACTCCTACTTTCCACTCTCCTTTATATCACAAATGTCAGACAGCCCAGGAACTGTTTCCCTTCGATCTTCTTTCAGTAGAGGTTCCTCCTAGCTTTTCACACATTCCTGAATTTCTTTTCCTTTCTTCCTTTTGTCTCCAACCAGCAGTCCCTACTTCATACCAGCCCACGTCCATCCCTTTGAGAAACTCAGCATGGCTTTGCACCAGCTACAGAGGAGATGTATACTGCCACAGAGAAACTCTTATGAAGGAGAATAGCTGCTTCACCCATAGACTCTATAAACAGCTTCCACAGGCTTCCTGTTTCCTACTGAACAGACATTCCATCATTGAAGTTAGGGGGAAAAAAACTAGATTTCTTTAAGAAGCCAAATTCTTAAGTCACTACATTTTAGCCTCTCACCTTTTGAAGACTCTGCATAAAACAAATGTGTCCTTGTTTAAACCACAGAGCATTAAAGGCTGCTATCTCCAAAAAGCTAAACGCGTGCTGTATGTTGATGAGAGTTATGGAATAGTGTGTAATAATAATAAAACTCAATAATGGCATATTCAGATAGATTTAGTGTATTTTTTTTGCTGTTCATTTGCTCCACCAGTGTTGTAAGTCCCTTAATGTCTTTCACCACCCAATGTACTCTGAAGTACCTTTTCACATTCAGTTCTTAGCAATTATAGTCTTTACACAATTTCACATAATAAAAAGCAAGTTCCATTTTCCTAATGGCACACTCAATTCCTGTGGTACATACATGAATACAATATCATTTGGAGGCTGGAAAATAAATCCAGACGGGATGAACTTCCTAAACTGCATTAATAACAGCCAACAATTTCCAGCTGTCTCAGGGCTGTTGTACAGACATATACGTCACCCCGATTACCCCAAGCCCAGTTCAACTGGCTGCAGGTAATTATTTATCAAGCCATTCAGAAGCAAAAGGTACACTGCATTAGCCAAATAAGAAAGCTTTTAAAGCATCTGACTCAGGGATTGCATTGAGGTTGCAAGTGATTTAACTCGAGAAGAATCTGCAAATTGATGAATCAAAACAGTACACTGAAAATCAATAAAAATAGGAACTTCAAAAATAGGAAAAAGGAGGTCTGCAGAAAGAACTCTGGGTATTCCCTGTGGAGGGCAGACAGGCCTCTACTTGCCTTCAGAGAGGCTGTCCTTCGTTGCTGAGAAGACAAGCCACCCAAAGACATCATTAGTGTTCTCAAGCAAACCATCACAAGCAGATCTTCACTAATAGACCAGAGAGGTCCTCAAACCCCTCTACTACCTGTACTCTTCCTGACTTCCCCCTGCCCTCTTCTCTTCATGTACTCCTGGAGTCACCTGTCCTGCAAGCACCAACACCAACAGATGAGGAAGCACATCCACTCCTGCCAGAATCTCTTCCTTAAGATCCCAGTCTATACTGAGATGCTTATGCCTGTACAGAACAAAGTCCTACCAATATTCTTGGGCTTACAAGTCCCTTTCTTCAGAAGGAAGGATCCAACAAGAACAAGCCAGAATAAAAAGGCATGGTTCCCAACTTCTAGCTCACAAACCTCTTGACCACCAACACCATGGAAAACATTCTTTGCTGAAGGATGTTTCTCTATTAACAGTGCACAGAATTAAAAGTGATACTGTCCTTTGTCTGCTCTGCAAGAATGAAGATCTTCAAAGAGTTTTCAATTTCACTTCTATGACTGCCACTGAAACAATACACATGAACTCTTTAGTAGATAATTTTCCCACCTCTTTGTTTGGGATTACAGACTGCCTGCACACAAAAGGCTTGAAAACTCAGCTGGCACAAGCAGTTTACATCTGGACTCATGTTGTGGTTTAAGCTGAACGCAGGACAAGCCACAACATAGATTCTGTGCACATAGGTTCCAAACAAGCATGAAGAATTACCCCCAGTTTTATAGAGTACTACTGCTCATGCTTCTCTAAAAGCAAGGCACAATGATAAGATGTTAATAAAAGCCTAAAATTAAGATTCAGGTTTGTTGTACTCTACTATTAGCTCTTCACCAGCTCTCAGACACCAGCTCTCAGGTTTTCAACTTGCTAGAACACATTTGTCATTTCGACTTCATAAGCATTCAGTTCAATGCTCTGGTTCTGCACTTCATGAACATGTAGGCAGAGATGTAAGATAGTACCAAATCAGGCCATTATGCTACAAACTATCTCTTTTTCCAATAGCTATAATATTTACCAGTATCTGGTCCCAGTGAGGATTGAAATTCAATTCATTAATGTTCTAAAGCACACTGAAGTATGTGATGAAAAGCTCTGAACATTAAGAACAATTATCTAAAATATATTTGAGCTTGCATCTCCTTTTTCTAATTTTGAAAATTACACAAAAGCAAGATTTTAATATTAGAAATGAAACATTATTTTCCCTTTTATACATCTATTCCCTAAGTACCATAAAGTGAATCTTAAATAAACTTACTTCATTTGTTCTTGCAGAAAACACTCTTTCATGCTGCTCACCCTTCTTACACACATTTTCTTGCTGATGTTCTCTTTCTGCATTTAATCTTGAATATTTTGACTTTTCTTCTGAGGCTCCTTTTTCGCCTTCATGTTTGAATCTCATGACATTACCCTCCAAAGTCATTGTTTGTGTAACTGCATCTTTCAATTCTGCTTTCAACAACTCAATATCCTTATTAATCTGCAGCACTGCATCTGGGTAAAGCTTCTCCTTCCCATCAGAAGCTGATTTCAATTCCACTCGCTGCTTTAAGAATTTATTGACCTGCTTGAAATGTTTAAGTTCAGCTTTTAGTTGAATAATCATTTGCCTAAGATCTTTTTCATCCTTTCTCTCCATATCTTCACTTGAACATTCTTCCTCAGTTGCGTTTAGATGATCTAAGAGTTCACTTACAATTTTCATTTGTTCTTGTCTGCTATACTCAGGAAAGAGGAAAGAAAAGGCAAGAATTTAGGTTTTTATTTAAGCAAACAAGAATACCCTCTAAAGAACTCTTTTGACGTGGCTTGACATACCTGAAATTCCCAGAACATTCCATTCTACTCATTAATGAATTAATTACTAACAAAGAGAATTCAAACCTTTTTACAACATGAGTTATATCATACATGATCCCATCAATGCCCTTCTCCTGTTTATGACCACCTATGCCCTTTCACCCCTCACCATTGTGAACAGATGCTAAGCCTCTGCTAACAAAATCAACTGCTTACACAGAACAGCAATGTAAGAAACACAAATGGATTTGCAAAAGAGTTTACTCTCTAACTACCTTAATAATAGAATTCTACCAAAACCACGAGAGACTCCAGATGTTGAGTTTATCTGAAAATCTATCCCTTCATGTATTTCTTATGAACCAGGGAAGATAGAAACTGAGAAAGCAGCTAAAAGCCTGAAAGCCAGCTCATTCCAGACCACCAAACTGCCCCACAGATAGCTAGTGGTCCATAGACAACAGTTCAGAAAGCAATGTTTTAAGAGAAACTGAAGCCAAATAAGAGCCATTTAAAGCAAAAGCAAGCCCTCAAATTCTACAGACAATTTCATGTGTCCAATAGAGAGCTGTTTGTGCCACTAAACATATAAACCAGCATTTAAAACAACTGCATTTGTATAGCTAGCATTCAAAATGGGGACGCTAACTAGGCTTTTTATGTCTTTCTCTGGCACCTAATGTCATTAGTGAGAATTCAGTTATGCAAAGTACAGGCTCATCACCAGTCAGTCTGGTCATTTATACTTGAACATAGAAAAGATTACACACTAGAGTGGTAAAGATGATGGTGCTGGAATCACTCATTAGCAGCCTTTTAAGTAAAGTTAACAAATAAAACAACATTATCTATTCATCTTCTAAGACAGTAGCATCCCCTCATTTGCCAGTAACTAGTGCTTAGGCAACTAAGACCATTTATGCATACTGGAGAGTTTTAAATAGTAATGTAAAAATATAGACGTGCTTGAGTAAAGTCAAGCACAGTGCATGCTGAACACAGAAAACTGGATGTGACTTCTGTAACTCCACAGGAGATGCTGCTACCAGCATCGCTGAGCACAACGTGTATGGCAGGTCATTCCCATTACTCTCCAGAAACTATGGGTAGCTGAAAGAACAGCACTGAAAGGCACTGAAAAAAGGTCACATAATACACTGTACACAGTTATTACAGCAGGGAGAGAAGTAGGAAAGGAAAATGAAAATGATCTCCACAAAAGCTCTATCTCTATTTTCAACCAGATTCAGTGGTGTAAGCATGAAACTGGGGGAAACGAAACTAGTCAGGGTGTGATTTTTTCTATATTCTTGCTTCGCATGGTCCAGTTCCTATGGAAATGAGCATTTCAGCTGGAAACTGATCAAACCATAGTGTAACACACACTTGAAAAACATGGATTACACAAGGGTTTATATAGATTCAGTTACACAAGTATTTTCTCCTGCATGAAAAGTGACCTAACTACTTACTATATGGCTCATCTCAGCACAGTCCTACAAGTAGTTACACTGGAGTAACCCAATCAGTCATCCACAGGACACAGGCCCAGACTCCCTAAACTGCACACATAGAGCAAACCTCTGTCCAAGCAGCTTAGCTGAAACAGCAAAGGCCACAGAGCATACAGTAACGTCCATTCAGAATTAAACATGTAAAACAATCCTTGTCACTCCAGTTCCTCCACCTCACTTCCTCACAAGTAATTTTTACAGCAAAGAAGTGCTGTCTCCTCCACCATAATGCCTTTCACTAACACCTATCCGTGGCCTTTCACACTGCTAGAGCACATCCTGAAAACAACCGTTTCCTATGGTAAAATTCCCTCTATCAGTAACTTTGGAGAGGTTTTTTTGCTTGTAATGGGTTTTTCTCAAGGATTTCTACTGATAGTACGTTTCCTAATGACTTAATTGCTTGATAGACTAAAATGGCTCTGAAGGTGCCTTGTCAATCTCTCAGGTAAATTAGACAGTGCCATTATCTAAATTCACTTTAGCAAAATGACTTTATTCTCTTCTCAGATAGAAATACTGTCAAAAGCAGTGCATATCCCTCATACTTACGTATTTTCCAGCACAGATGTTCTCTTTTCTCTTAGCAGAGATGTGTGCAAATCCCCTTCTGTGTCATGTTCACTCATTCCCATTCTGCCCAAGTGTTTGCCAGGTGTATCATGTTCAAATTGAAGCTTATGTGGACTCCTATAATGTCTGTTTGTGCAGAAACTCTCTGAATAGCCTGATGGAGTTATCTGTTAAAAAATTGCCAACATCTTCTTATTACAGAGGTATGTAATGTTCTGTTAAATTCAAGGCTGTAATCTTTTTGTAATCAGGTTTTGTAATTCCTGATGCTTTTTATCTACATTAAGAAGCATCCACAGACATTTCACTTACTATTTATTAATAGAAAAACTAATTAACATCTATTCCATATGATTAATTCATAGGGATTGGTTGTTTCATAAGTAGTAAGTAGATTTCCCTGAAGGTCTTTATCTATGAAGGGGTATGAAACTTCTGGAATGTTGTCTGCAGATTGGAGCTAACTTTTTATTAGTTCCCCTTTGAATCAGCTGTCTATAGCACAGATTCTGTCCTGGGATCTCCAGATGCAAGCCCTGATGGACAGGACAAGATGAAGCTTGAAGTACCTACAAGCTGCCAGCTTCTTACATGCAACACCATAGAGATGTCTTAGCAAATTTTACATGGGATCTCTCCAGTAATTCAACCCCATTTAAATCAATTGAAGTCTTCAAAGAGAATTCATATAATTTCTACCAGCAGATACCAGCGACATGAGATTAAGATGCTTAACGGTCATCAAGAGAACCTTTACAATACGTCACTTACCTGTTTATCCACTTCACATGGGAAATCCGAAGGTACTTGAGGGCATACCTAGTAAACAGAGGAACACAGAAATCACACATTTCAAAGAACAGAACATCATATTCTTCATGATTACTAACCAAAATGCTCCATTTTGTGTCATATTTTAGCCTGTTTCAACTTTTAAACAAGAAAGGTTCACCTTTATTTGCACTTTACGATCCTCTAAAGTCCCTTGCAACCTGAATTATTTTATGATGCCATGATGCTTTCTATTACATTGCATTTAAGTGATAGAATAAGAGCACAACAGTTTCCTGTATGCATGAAAATGCAGTCATCAAATAATCAAGACATCAAGTATTTCAACCGTGAAGAAGGATCTACAGCATTTTTTCCTCAATCATAGCAAGTGAACCTTATACAATTTGAACTACAGGCCTGACTGCAGTGGAGGCTTAAGATCAGTCTGTGTGTATGCAAAGAAACAACTTCAAGGGACTGACATCCCCATTAAGGAAGATTATGACTCAAACAAGAGAAAACAAGGACCAGAACAAAACCTGTCCTGACTGCAGAAGCCTAGCAGCAGAAAAAGCTTTCAGAACCTCTTTAGGATAACGATTAGTTGAAAGCAAAATCAGATACCAAGAGAAGTATGCTTTGTTTGCAAGAGTGTTCTGACAAAATCAGAACTTCTAAAGGCATGCAGAGAGAAGAGCACTTTAACATAATGAACCCAGAGTGAAGCCCTACCTGACTGACCCTCTCACAAAACTGGCTGTTCTGCATCTTCCTGGCATTGTCACTGCCTTCAGTCTGCATGACAGGCTCCTCTGTTGTTTCAGGACACTACACAAAGTATGGAATGATGTGAAAATGTAGCACAACAAAAAATACCATGATATGAAACATGCATAAATAAGTCAGTGATATGTCTTGAAAGAAAAATAAGAAATGGCTGCAATACAAAGTAACAAACACTGAATTAGGTTCCTTCAACAAGATCAAAGAAAATTAACACAGACCCAGTGTATTTCACAATACAATGAAACTTTGTCTTATACATTCCTTCATTTATATTTTACCCTTTTATTTATATTTAAATTTAACCCTTTCTCTTCATTTATATTTAACCCTTATTATTTATACTTATATATAACCTTTTATATATATATATTTATTTATATAATTTATATTTAACCCTTTCTCTTCAGAGTTTACAAAGAACATAAAAACCTTCTGGGAAAAGTCCTCTGTCTCTTCATGTTCTCTGCCTATTTTATTCACCAGTTTCCAGAATGTATTTGCATTTGGTACACGATTTATGCTCCAGCATCCAAAACATAGATGCTTTTAAAACAAAGCACATGTAGCTTGCTAGACAGTAAGATTTCCTGTAACACTTCAAGTTACAATCTGCTGTGTCTTGCCCAAATATGCCAATCTGTGGCAAACGGTGCCAAATCATCTTTTTTCCATTTATTTTCCACAAGACCCAATCCACGGCCCATCACTAATAATTCCTGAACAAAAAAGAAGGAAGACTCAAGCCTTTTTAGTAGCAGAACTGAAGTTCCTGACATCAGCATTACTGGCAGGAAGGTGAGAATCCCTTTGGTTTGCTGGATAGAATCACAGAATGGTTTGTGTTGGAAGGGACCTTAACGCCCATCCAGTTCCAATCCCCTGCCACGGGCAGGGACACCTTCCACTAGAGCAGCTTGCTCCAAGCCCCTGTGTCCAACCTGGCCTTGAACACTGCCAGGGATGGGGCAGCCACAGCTTCTCTGGGCACCCTGTGCCAGTGCCTCAGCACCCTTCTTTCTTCCTTATGTCTGATCTAAACCTCCCCTCTCTTTAGATCTTTGCTGCTAAAATCTCATTAAATAGTAGAAACATGCAAAAGTGATGGTGAACATTAAGGATGCTGTGTCTAAAATGCCTAAACCATAGTAGGATACAGCACTAACAGAGGACTCAAACCTGCATTAGTCTTAAAGCACTTGTGGCAATAGTACAGCACCTCTGGGTTTAACAGTCGTATTTTGGTGTGACTGGGTGAAAGAAAGATTACCTTAAGGAAAGCAGAATCTTCAGCATAGTTACAGCAAATGGAGTTCATAGGCAGAGAGATTCACAAGATGGACTGGAAGGAAAGGAGCTGGTGCCTAGGGGTCGTGCATGTGATATTTATAGCTTTGAGGGGTACACAGCACAGGGCTGCAACTTACGGCAGGAGAACAGAAACCTGCTTCCTCTGTACCACATGCTGGAAAGTCTCAGCTCACAGCATGGCAGTGCAACCACAGGAAAGCAGGATTCTGCAAGGGGCATAAGTTTTCCTTCTTAAGGACAGTGGGAATTGACTGCTTGTGTAGGGTTTGAGTTTTAATTGAGTATGCAGAGAATGTACTCACATATATATATGTGTGTGTGTGCATGTATATATATATATATATATATGAAATAAATGAGAAAAGCCTTATCTTCCTATCCCTCCAGCATTAGCAGCTCTAATGGTTTAAAGTATGAATTTTAAAAGGCAGAAACCGGATGGTGCAGCATATTGATATATTTGCCTCTTGCTATTAAAAATCTATATTGAAAACTAACTTCCACCTCGTGATTGAATTATTTTGGTATCTGCACTCAGACTTGGTTTTCTAGGGCAGCACAAAGTAAAGACCATCTGAAAAGGGGAGGAAGACACAGACAGGATTCTGATATATAGCAAGGGCATGCATTATAAGAAGATCTTTTTGTTGTACTCATGGGATGCCAAAGGTGCAGTCATTTTAGCTATTATAAAGAAAACTGCTAAGGTTTAATCTTCTTTGTGTATATTCAGGACAAACCTTACACTTGTGTATTGAAAATAAACTTGTTTCCATATACACCTTTACCCACCCAATGCAACTACTTTTTATACTTCAGCATTTATTAGTATAGGCTTTTCCCAGGCCAGTATTTGGTTTAGTAAGTGATGATACTTAGACTGAAACTATTACACAGGACCACTGGGTTATAGAACACCGTTCTAACAAACGACTGCGGTTTGAGCCTGGTCCTGTGGCTGAGATGCTGGAAAGAAACTTGCTGTGCTCTAAGGAATACAACCATAATATTAAAAGAAAATAAGTGTCCTAAGGCCAGGAAAAGAAAAAAGCCTACCCAGAATAAGCTGCTGTTTAAAGTATTTCCTTGGAGACTAAAAACCTTGAGAATGTTTCTCCTAAATGAACCACTGATATGCTTGGTTTGCAAAGATCCCTGGAGCCCTGAAGGCTGAAATCACTGAGGCTGCTTCTCTCTGAGAAAGCAGATGTTCAGAGGACAGTACAAAAACAACCTTTTTCTCTCCTCCTTCTCCCTCCTAGCATGAACATTAAGCCAAGACCCAGAGTCCTAAGGGCTATCAGACCTTAGGGAAATGCCCTTCAGAGGCACCAACATGCAGCTTCATCTGATCTGTGCGCCGAAGCCAAGGAAGAAGCCAAAGGAAAAGAAAGATGGGTACATTGTAAGAACAAGAGTAGTATACATCTTCCTGTGCCTGTCCAAATCCCTCATATAGCACATACATTACTGTCAGCTCAGCACTACCTGCCAGCAAATTTGAGCCCAAAATACACATGAAAACCAGAACTTAGGGGGGTTTTGACAATAGTTATTAAGATGTAAAACACACTGCTGTCACAAACCATAGCCCGAAATCCAGGTTGCCTTTTATTGTCAAGACTGATCAAATGATACTTTTTAAACTAAACACTTAATTATAGCTCCTTTCACTTTTGAGCTCCGTAGTGATATTATCATTCTGGCATGGTTAAAATGGTTAAAATACCCTATTTTATTTTCCTATTTCCTTTACTAGAATGTTGAGGTTTATTTGTAATTTAGAAGCTTCACTCTGTCATTCTACATCTAATTTCATGTAGACAGCTTCTTAAGGAAGTAGCCCTACATGTACTTTTCGCGCTGAGACAAACACAGGAGCACACAGTATCTTGTCAGGATAATCTTTATTACACAAGACACAAGCATCTTTGGCGTTAATTATGGCATCAGTGGGAGTGCAGCACCCTCTGCAGGGTAAAGGGGCAAACTGCCGCATGTATTCATCTATAGGAAGCGCAGATTGCCCACAAGCTTTTCATGCAAAGCTATTACAGGAAGATGTAATCCGTTATTTTGATAAAAGCTATGGCATCTCTAAAGGTCAATCTATGATTTAAAACGTATTTCAATTAAAGGTAGCACCAGCATGGCTTCAAACTGAAAAAGCAAGAGTATTTTGTGACTAGAGGCTAGAACATTCACTAGAATCTACCAGAGCCTCCTTCACCATTCACAGCCAGCAATCCAGGACCCAAAATGCTTCTCACTGGAAGTATTTTGCCACGACATCTTCCTCCCTACAGCTAAAACAAGTCTTAGTTTTGGGCTAAAGAGTGAAACACCCAGCAATGATTACTTCCTTGCACCTCTCAGCAATCTAACTACATGCTGTCCGCTTCTCCATATACTTCTATACTCTATATGGAGGAACAGCCAAGTATTTGAGTGACCTGAAGTGCTCTTCTCTCTTTTTTGGCTACAGTGAACTCTCGTTTTGTTGATGCAGAGGAGATGTGAACAGAATTAGACAGCATCAGAATGACTCTTGAACAGTAGACAAGCAGACTTTCAGTAATAACTAAAATGCTCATGAGGCAATCTCCCTAGTTATGTGTTTGTGAGTTTAAGAAATCTTAACTTGTAAGGCCATAGTTTCCAACCATGTTATTGAGGTACCATGTTTCGCAACTCAGCAGCAAGAAGAAACCTGAGGGCACCTCACACCAACTAACTGATTTGAGAAGAAACATTTCAGTGCAAGGGAAACCAGCATTACAGGGAAATAGCAGCATTCAGAAACAGCCTTGATCTACCTCAAACACCCTTTATAACCACTGTAATTCTGAGTAGTTTCATAGGACAACCATGTTCAAAGCTCTTGAACAGACATCACTGTCACAGAGTAATGTAGACTCGTATCAAGAATCACTGAAGGTTCAGGTTAGAAGGGACCTTAAGATCACCTAGTTCCAACCCCCCTGCAATGGACAGGGACACCTCACACTAGACCAGGTTGCTCTAAGCCCCATCCAACCTGGCCTTGAACACTGCCAAGGCAGAAGACATCATCTGCAGAAGAAAGTGGAATGTCTTTATTAGACCAACTGAAATACTTGGGAAAACAGACCAGCTTTCAAGCATAGAAACCTTTTTTCAAGTAAGAAATGGTTTATAAACCATAAACTCTTTTGCTAATGAGCATCCCTGAACGTACTGAAGGGAATATGTTCAGAGATAAAAGTGGTATAACCCCAGAACGAGACTGGGACACAATCTGGGGCTCAGTTTATTGAAACCTGTTCAGTGTAAGGCAAACTTCTTCCCTTCGATTACCCACCCTCAGATTCTGAACGCCTGCCTACAATTCAGCTGGCCATAAGAAATGTAAAACTTGATTTATGTTCACTCCTAAACAACCATAGTCAAAGTAATTCTTTATCATAAATGGGTGCATGGATCGGAGGTCACTGCACGGGGTATGTAACAAGAACAAGTTTCTGAACTGCAAGACTGATTTACTGGCTGATAATGGTCTGCACATTTAATCTCTGTGAATTTCAGATCTCCTTATGTAGAACGGAGAGAACATTAACTTACCTCATGGTTATTTTATAACATGCCATATTTACCAAAAGACTTGAAAATCCTGGGATGGAGTATGCTATAGAGAAGTAGAAATTATAGACACCACTAACATGATTAATAAAGATGCATGAAATACACGTCATAGGATTCTCAATGCACAAACCTTTCTTTGGAGGTGCTTCATGATCACTAAAATATGGTACTGAGTCTGAAACAACTTTAATCCAAGTGTCTATCATAAAACCTTTGCAGCAAGCCAGCTATCTTTCAGCTGATTCTGAAGCTCATGTGGTGGAACAAAGACTAAATGGTTCATAAAAGGCGGATCACAAACCACAGAGATGAAAACTTCAAATCCTTTCAGGACTACCCAACCGTACCTAAATAAACCTTTTTGAGAGAGATACACAGACTCTAAAAGAAGCAGAATTAAGCCATTAGAAACAGTAAATAATAGACGAGATCAATACCTTTTCCTTAAGTTCTTTGAGAGACAGATGGTCTATATGTGGGCATAAATGGTCTTGCTCTCTTAAACAGATACTCATATAAGATGTTTGATCGCCACAGAAAGAAAGTGTTTCATCTGTCAAAATAACCAAGGATAGGAATTATTTCAGAAACTTATTTGCAGAGAAACACAGCATCAAATACAAAGACAGGACTTTTCAAATAAGAACCAACTAGTAAAGTCTGTGGGAGGCCAGTTAAAATTCTTCAAACCCCAAAATAAGCTTTCTGCTTAATCGAACAGATTTTGCCCTCATATCTCTGTGCCGCTGACATGCAGACAGGCTCTATTTTCTGGGGCTCTATTTTCTGTGGGTATCAGGATGAGTTCTGAATTATAATTTGCATATTTAGCATTACAATTAGGAATAATTTTTAGGGAGGGGCAGGAAGGCACGAATAGTTATTCTGGTTTAACCATCTTTTCACAGACACAAACACAAGGTCTCAAGGTGAAAAGCCAGGTTACTGAACAGAGTTTGCTTTGGGGTCAAAAGATTGCATTAATTGAATTGAGCATAGTTACCTATTCATTTCCTCTCTAACTGCAGGAATGATTTGTTATGTTTCAATAAACACCTGTTCATTTACACTATAAATGACAGCTAATTCTATAAATACATCTCATTAGATAGAGAGAAAGCGTGTTTAAATGAGGACAGAGGAGACATCCAAATCCTCTTCCCACCTCTGACACTGATCCCGTGGCTGCTGCAAAGACCCAGAGCTTCACAAATGACTCCTAACGTTCAGAGCTTTCATTCCTATCAGCCCCACCCTCAGCATAACTGCTCTGGGAAGCCAGGAGTATCCCCAGGACCCTTTTGCCTACCCTAGTTCATCATCTCTGTGCTGCTGAGATTGGAAACTGCAACAGCAGAAGCTTACCTTTTGTCACCTAGCATAGCTGTCAAGAGAGTGATGCTAAAATTGAAAATCTAAGTTGAAAGGGGTAATTGAACAGGCTCTACTGTTATTTATATATCCCCTCATGAATAAAACAGATACCTCTGTACAGATGCAGTAAACTATATTTAACTACGTCCACTTCAATTATTCTTTTCTATATCTAAGTGTATACTAAAAACACATCCAAAGAAGTGCAATAAAAAAGCCAGAAGATAAGATATATTTAAAAGCTCTACTATTTATGAGTTACAAAGTAAAACCTCTGGCCATTTCTTCTTTCTCTGGAAGCACTTCAGGTAGGAGGAGTTTAGCCATTTCCTGAGACGAGCTCTTTACCAAGTGTTGTGAAATCATTACATTCCATGGCCAGAAAGAGATCCCATGGCCACAGCTTCACTTAAAGGCAGGAATCTCTTACTCCTACAGAAAACAGTAAATTCTATGGGTGCAAAATTGTAGGCAGCTTGAAATGATCACTGCAGGAGAACTGCCACGGAATTGCTAACATTTGCTGCACAGAAAGAGCAAAGCTGTCCCTCCCTATATACCCTGATTGCTCAAAGACATTCTGTTACAAATCCTCCACGTAATTTTCGGTATAGAAAGCTGCACAAAAGTCTTTTCCCACCTTTTTCTTCTCTCAAACGTTTCTTCTCCATCACAGCAAACTGTAGTAAAACCAGTTTTGTGCAAGCAGATCAAGGAAAGGGATGAGCTGCTGTATACAGACCTTGTCGGGTTTTAATGTTCTTAATCTGATCTTCTAAGATCTTCTGGAGATTCCGATTATCTAAAACAGCTTCTTCTAGTTCCTTTCTCAACATGATAATGTTGTTCAGTTCCGTTTGCAGGCTATTTATACTAAAGAAACGGAGAAAAAGCAATCTTCAGTTTTCAATGTAAAACATTCTGTTGTGGATCTCAGCATGTTTTATACATAGGCGCTTCCACACAGAGCCTGTTTCCCATTAAGCCATCACTAGTGTGTAACCACACAGTTACAGCATTTTGATAGATAGACACAAACAAATCTCTATATTGAAAGATGAGATTAAAAGTTTACATATATGACCTTATCTTGCTGTTTGGAGCTGTACTGCTTCTATGTCAGCTTCAACAGACATATTCCACCAGCCAAGTGCTGTGTAATTCTATTTAAGGTAAATCACAATTGCTAACTTCTGAAAAGTCCTGGGTTCAGCAGTAGCAGTCCTTTTTCTCCTTAGTAGCTGGTGCAGTGCTGTGATTTTGACTTTCAGCCTGGGAACAGCACTGATAACACCGATGTTTTTAGTTGTTGCTTGGTAGAGTTTACTCTGACCAAGTACTTTGTGAGTCTCATGCTCTGCCAGGGAGGAGAGGAAGCCAGGAGGAAGCAGAGACAGGACACCTGACCCAAACTAGCCAAAGAGGTATTCCATACCACAGCACATCATGCCCAGGAGGTAAAACGGGAGGCAGTTACCCGGAAGGGCAAGATCACTGCTTGGGGTCAGGCTGGGTATCGGTCGGCGGGTGGTGAGCGGTTGTATTCTCTTCCCTCATTATTTCCCTTATCATTATTATTATTGGTGGTAGCAGTAGTGATTTGTGTTATACCTTAGTTACTGGACTGCTCTCGTCTCAACCCATGGAAGTTACATTCTTTCAATTCTCCTCCCCATCCCTCCAGGAGCAGGGGGAGGAAAGGGGGGAAGAAATATGGCTGCATGGTTCTGATTTACGGCTGAGCTTAAACCACGACAATGCCCAAAAATATCATTAGCACATAATACTGATGGCTCTGCGCATTCCACGATATGGTGACCATGGAAACTTTGTTCCCTTCCCATACTATACTATACAGTCTAATGCTCCACTTAAGATAAAACCAAAAAGATTGTGTTTCATTGAAAACATGACCCAGACACAACTGTTTTATTCCTTGATTTATCCAACAGGCTGTAAAAGGACTTTTTAAGGTCTAAATCGTCTCTACTATATTATTATTATTATTATTATTATTATCTCAAGGGGGTGTCAATACCAAAATTTACAGGTTACAATTTGTTAAGGTAAAATAATTCTTTCAGCAGCTTCATTCCAAAGTGGCCACTGAGGCTCTTACTTGAGCATCAGCCACTGTCCTCAGTGTCAGCACCTCTGGCTGCCCCTTGCTGTATCTTCCCCAAACTGTTCAAGAATACCAATTCAGTTCTGATCAGTCCCTAAAAAGACTTAAATACACTAAAAACTGAAACTGTAATATGAAATAAAGTGGATTTAGTAACAAATTCAGTGTTACTGAACTCATTGTATTATTTACTTCACTCAGAACCTCACTGTTTGAAATTAAGCTGCTGTCAGATTTCCAATCCACAGCACTAAATGCCAGAGAATTGAGGAATCTTTACAACAGATTTAAATCCGTCTTAGAGGAGACTCTACAGTAACATCCAGCACATCATACTCATGTGAAAATAACAGCATATTGTAGAAACACATTAATCAACAGGCAGCATGTATGAAAAGCCTCAGTTTGTCTTCTGACATGACTGGTGTCAGTGTTTCTAGCACAAGAAACTACTGCTTTAACCAATTCTCCCACCTTCAAGGGGATCTTTGAAGAGAGAGCTCTCTTAAATGCTCAGCAAAAAATTAAGAATCAAACCAACCCCACACATTACGAGAAGCTAAGTAAGCACATTTCCTCCTTTTCATGAGCTAAAGGTTTTATAAGAGAAAGCATTTATTTCCCGCTTGAAGAGACACAAAATGTCTTGGTCCTGACATCCAGTAGCTTAGCTTGAAAAATAACCATCCAGGTTGCTTAAAATAAATAACGCCTAGAAGAAGATATGTCAGCAAGAAAACAGATGTTTGCCTAAAATCTGTGGCACTGCTGATGGCAATTACACAAATGAGGAAGTGGAATTTATCGGCAGGGCTTGTTTATCAACTACCCAGAACTCTGGGGGGGCCAACTCTTCCTTGATGGGATTAACAGCACATCTCAGCCCACAAAACTATGAGGAGACATAAGACAACCTGCCTCCAGCTTCCAGCTCTGCTGCTGAATCACTGCACACCCTCTGCAAATCGCTGCTCTGTGCATCCTGTAACTCAATGGCAAGAAAACAAAACTAATGATCCTGCTCCACATTCTATAGAAGTTAATTGCAAAACTCCTATTACCCTAATGATTATAACTACAGTTATCATTTTCTTCATTTGAAAGTTATTCTAAGAAAAACTAGTATCAGAGCTGTATTATTTTGTTGTCATCATTCTGAAGTGTTGACAACCACCTTACCCACAGAACATATTTCAAAGTCAGGTCCCACCTTCTTTATAAGACATTAAAAACAACTGACTTGTCCTTCATTTGGTGACTATTCAACCGAAAAGTCACAAAATATATTGCTCTTTTCCCAGAAAGAAGAAATAAAGTCCACAACCATAGAATCATAGAATCCCAGAGTGGTTTGGGTTAAAAAGGACCTTAAGATCATCCAGTTCCAACCCCCTGCCATGGGCAGGGACACTTCACACTAGACCACGTCTCCCAAGGCTCTGTCCAACCTGGCCTTGAACACTGCCAGGGATGCCGCATTTACCACTCCTTTGGGCACCCTGTGCCAGCACCTCACCACCCTCACAGGAAAGAACTTCTTCCTTATATCTAACCTGAACTTCCCTTGTTTCAGTTTGAACCCATAATCTGACTTCTATCACTATTTCTAAGGAAAAAGACTCTGGTACTTAGAACTGCTTCCAAGCTGTGGCCAAGCACAAGATGGCATTACAATTAATGTGCTTAATACAAACACCAGATCTTACCCACTCTAGTGGTATTCACTTGATAGTTTCCAAACTGTTGTGGATTATAAACCAACTGCAAAATACAAAGACACATCCCCACAAAGCTGGCAGGTACAAGCCATTGCTTTCAGCAGGGAGACTAGAGGCAGCTCTGTAAATACCGTCAAAACCAAGTTATTTGTAATCATAAAAGTAATTTTTTTCTCTAAAACACATTTATTTTTCCTAAAGGCTAAGAATTGTCTTTATTTTACCTTAACATGTCCTCCTCAGCTGCCAAGCAATAATAGGCTACAAAGTAGGCCACAGACTCCTTTCTAAAATATTGTATTCTTTGATTCTCAAAGGTTAAAAAACACTTGCTCTGCCATACTTCTGAACGCCTTACATTGAAGGCATACTATGCAAACTTCAATTACTCTGTTTTGTTTAACCTTCTGGTTAAAGAAATCTTACTCACTTATGTTCCCATCAAAATCCTCACAGTGTCACGTTTAAGATAAGCATTATCTGTATTTCAGGAGTAAAGCACAAGAAACCATCCAGCACCCAAAAGTTCACTGTGAATTGAGTTTTCCCCCCTATATTCCAACACAGCTGACTCCTGGAACCCTAAGCTGCTTGCTTTGGCAGCTAAATGGAAATGTGGCTCATCTGAGATTTCAATGCAAACACAAATATTTTCAGGAACATTTAGGTAATTTACATAATAGAACCTCACTTACACAAATATTTCTCTTTTACAGCTCATTTTACCCTTATGAACAGCTGACAGGTACAAACTTCTGCCTTTTGCCCTCTGAATTTAGATTATCCACCACAACAGAAACAGTACTCACCTATCCGACTCTTTGAAGGTCTTCACTAGCTCAGAATAAATATTTTGTTCTTTTCTTAAAGCAAGCATCAGCTTTTCATATTCAGCTTCTTTATTTTCCTAGATTAAAAGAAGAACATACTGAGCTTACCGTGTCAGTTTTACATTTGCACATCTACAGCTATGTGTGCACCTGTGTCCTGAAGAAAATGTGAAGTAAGTACAGTTCAAATCTGCTGAACAGGACTGTCCACCTCCAAAGCCTAATCTGAACCTGGAAACTGCTCATGATACTTAAAACCAACTATTATTAAAGGAGGAAAAATACTGCTTCACTATTTCCTTATTATGAGTCACAGATCTAAACAGTGGTTCAACATTTTTATCACAGTCACAGAATCCCAGGCTGGTTTGTGTTGGAAGGGATCTTGAAGCTCATCCAGTTCCATCCGCTGCCACGGGCAGGGACACCTTCCACTAGAGCAGCTTGCTCCAAGCCACTGTGTCCAACCTGGCCTTGAACACTGCCAGGGATGGGGCAGCCACAGCTTCTCTGGGCACCCTGTGCCAGTGCCTCAGCACCCTCACAGGGAAGAGCTTCTGCCTATGAGCTCATCTCAGTCTCCCCTCTGGCAGGTTAAAGCCATTCTCCCTTATCCTATCCCTACAGGCCCTTGTCCAAAGCTCCTCTCCAGGTTTCCTGTAGCCCCTTTAGGCACTGGAGCTGCTCCAAGGTCTCCCCGTAAGAAGCCTTCTCCAGGCTGAACCACACCAGCTCTCGCTGCACCCCCCAACCCAAGCATCCTCACTTCCAGTTTACAACTCAAAACCCCAGGAACAATCTGGCAGGAGGAGAAGGGGGAGAAGGGAAAGCAGACAAACGCAAGCTCCAAGCACATCCTTTAGAACATTGTCCTAACAGTCCTCTCTGTGTTCTGGATAAAACTGGCTTTCTTTGAGGGAAGGGTTCCTGCAAATTCTGTTCCACTTCTGAACAAAAAGGACTGTATTGAGCAGACAAATAAAGGATGAACATGTCAGATCCACTCGTTGAGTCAGCTTTCTGCACGCTCAGCTGGGTCACTGCAAGCTGCTGCTTTACTTGTGCAAAGAAAAGACAATTGTTTGCCTGCAGTCTTGCTCACAGACAGTATATTATTATTATGTGAATAAATCCAGACACTTGTGCTCCATTCTCAGTAAGGAACCACTGATTTCCCCAAGATCTTTTCACTCCAAAACAACGACATGCTCCCTTTTCCAGCAGGAGACAAAAAATGCAGCTATTTAATGGAGTATTTGCTTGCACTTATTACATAAAATACCTAAGAAAGCTATCTCAGAAGAGAAAATACTGGGATAGCTATAGCAAATTTAGCTGTATTAATGTCAGACACCTATATTCTGCCTCTGTTTGAAGAGCAGTTTTGCTTCTCTCACTTCTCTCTTTTGACTGAAAGCTGAAAGGAAGAACAAAAAAGTGCCACAGCTCAGGTGGAATCTCAGCTAAGGAAACTCTCGAGAGATACTAAATCATTAGAACAGATCATTAACAAGGAAGAAATCTACACCTGGGAGTGTGAAGCAGCTGTTATTACTCCAACTGCAATTCCTAAGGAAGGGATCACAACAAAAACCCAGCTCCAATAAAACCTCGTTAAATCACACTAATGATGCACAGACTCTGTTAATTTGGGGAAAAATCAGTATTCTGCAAAGCAAACAGCACAAAAGCAAGGACAACTGTTGTTTACTTTTCATTATTTACACTCAGATTTAACAGTATGCTGGCAAACGTGGTAAATAATATTCTGCAAGTGTAATCAGGTTTGGATCAAATTATTGCTACGTGTCAGATCCTACTGCAGAGCAAGCACCATCCATCACCTAACGCTACGGACTCTGACCTTGCCTTTGTGCACGTGTATCCTGTTAAACCACCGTCATTCCCAATGGTATCTGGAGTTCTAACAAATGTTTCTAGTGAAATGGATATATTAAATACTGTTCTACGTGTAAAGTGCAAAGGCTGCATGGAGAACTCAGAGCAGCCTTCCAATATCTGAAGGGTGCTACAAGGCTGCTGAGGAGGGACTCTTCATTAGGGACTGTAGCAATAAGGCAAGGGGTAATGGGTTCAAACTGAAACAGGGGAAGTTGAGATTAGATACAAGGAAGAAGTTCACTGTGAGGGTGGTGAGGCCCTGGAATAGATTGCCAAAGAAGTGGTGAATGCTCCATTCCTGGCTCCAGCCAGGTTGGACAGAGCCTTGGGCAACATGGTCTAGTGTGAGGTGAGCCCACCATGGCAGGGGGTTGGATCTGCATGATCTTAAGGCCCTTTCCAACCCAAACCATTTCATGATACATATCAAGTTTATTATCTAGACACAGAGATGAGGAGCACACACCAAGGCCTTCTGCTGACTCAGTGCTGAGGAATACAGAGGCAAACTGATGGAGGCGAGTGATCCAGATCCATCTTGATGCATTAATCAAAAAACCTCACAGAAACCCCACATTAAAAAGTATGTCTTACAGCCTGAATGAAGGAGTCTTATCACGATGCTGGAATCTGAGCCTTTCAAGAACAGCCACTGAACATGAAACACACAGATTGCAGTTTAACTAGGAGAAAGTTTGATCACAACGACACCATTCAATGACGTAGCAAGCCACAGGAAGAAATAAATCTTTTGACTTAATTTAGTCGGTTAACAGTCTGTTAAAAGTTCCAGTGAACTCTTCCATATGTCTGATACAAGCTCTGCAATTATTACTGAAGACACGACAGAGCCATATCCTAATTAAAAGCTCTTTCTGAAGCACTGGCAAAGTAATGTCACTGTGAAGAGTTTACAGTACACAAATTAGATAACGGTTGTCACCAGTTGTTCAGGGTCTGTGGCTGTTGTATTATCAAAGCAGTGTCATGCATAGAATGATGCTCCGGCTTCCTGTGTTGCTTTGAGAATTCACAGGTTAATTTAGTTCTACATTTGCACCAAAATCTCAGGAAGTTTGTGAAATTCTCCCTCTTTTTCCCCTGCATAACAGGAGACATGAGCTGTTTAATTCTAAATGTCACAGACTACACACAAATTAGTAAACTCTACATCCAACTAGGTAGACGTTAGGAAAATCATGAAGAGGTGTTCTTGATTTTACAGACTCTCTCATGAATAATAAGGATGAGGAGATACAGCCTGAACATGGGGGGTTTTTTCCCCTGTACATTATTACTGTCATTTCTAAATAAAGCGTAGGAGTGAATTACTCCAATCAACTCCCCAACGGTACACAAAACATAAGGCAGCTCTGTAACTTAAATAGACCGTAATGCTGTGGGAGTTAATGAAACATTAAACCTCTTGACACATGGTGTGAGGGAAAATGTGTTAAAGGAGATAGCTGCAAGACATCCAGGACCATATTGCAGTGAAAGATTTATATTCCCATGAAAGGAGGCAATCTAACACATTAAAGTCTATATTTAAGTCTGAAATACTAATGCTAAGCAGCAGAGGTGTAAAACGTAACTTATTTTCATTAAAGGTTTCTCAAATTGTAAGCAAAGTAAAAGGTTTATACCTCCATCATAAATAAGTGATTGGCAAAGTTAACTCACTGAATATTCTGCTTACAACAACCATTAGGATCATTCCAAAATCCCTGAAGGTTCGAGGATGATGACTGAGAGAAGACCACCACCTACACCTCATCACTGATGCTTCCACCCATCTATCAGTACTAGAACTTGGTCGTTTCTTCTAGTACTGCAGTAAACTTTCTGTATTGGCTACCATAAATGAGACAATTGCTAACGTTACAGGCCACCAAGTCACATATCTAAAGAAATATAGAGAAATCAATTTAGAATTAAACCTCCTATTAGTGTGGCCCCATACTGCAGTATCACTGTGTGCAAGATTACACCTGCAACACAACAGCACCCAGAAGCACAGCTCAAGGACTGAACAAGAGCCACTTTGCTCAATTTCCCTGCTTTTCTCAGTAATAAAATGAACCACAGAGGTCTAAAAATCTGTGTCAGAAATAGATTTACCTAACAAGTACTCCAACAAAAAGAGCTTTGTAAGGAATACTGGTTGTGAGAGAAGAGCATTAAGCACTAAACCAACTAGTTTCCAAAATTATAAGGAGTCTATTTGCAATTCTGCATTTCTTAGCTATAAAATAGATTTCATTCCAAGCTTTCATAGATGTCAGAATCAGCAGTTGCATGACTACCCTAATTATCAGTGTCCTCGCATGCTCTCTCTTCAGCTTGTGACAGTGGCTCAAGAATCCACTCCCAAATTAGAAACTGTCATTTATCTTCCCTGGCCTGGCCAAGGCACCCAGCAGAGCTTTGGATGTTGGTTGCTTTAAAAATCTATCATTAAATTCAAATGAAGTAAAAAGATCTGATGAAAAGCCAGAAAGTTCTGCATCTCTCAATTCAGTTTCTTCAACTTTCGAGATCAGTGAGGCCAGAGCAGCTTGGTTTCTGTTCTCTCTGGTGGGGAGCATCCTGCTGGGCGTTTGTTGAGAGTTGGTGCAGCACTGGAAAGTCATCAGAGGCCAAAGCAGCCAATGAGAGCAGAGCTCTGGGTAACCTGTGTCCAAAACCTCCTGTTTAATATGCCAAAGCAGGTTCTTAGGGAGGTATCTTACACAGAGCTTGGGCTGCAAGGACAATGGGTTGTGATTAGGTATTGTTCACAGCCACTAAGTGAACCAGCAACAGAGAATAGATGGTGATTAGAAGGTGGGTACTGGGTCATTAGCATGCAGGGCTTCACTTGCCCCTGTTCTCTCCCCTGGTTACATACCTGTATTGGAAGTGGGGTGTACAGAGGAAAGTTAGTGTTTGATTTTCACTGATTCTGCATGATTTTCCATCTTCCTCTGGGACAGAAGTTACGTGTGTGCACTGCAGTTTGTTTTAAGAGTTAGAATTTCTACTCAGACTTCACAGACTTTATTTTCTCTGCATGTATATTCATATATACTTTGCTATACTCTGCTCTGGTACCCTGGCAACAGCACTGCAGCTCCTTTACTCTGAACTTGTCATATAACCCATGACTCAATGTGTGCTCACACCTACCTTGTTTAGTAATAGTGCCCATAACATATTAAGTGGGTCATCACTAGTGTGTTCAGAATGTGACATAAAACAGCACTTATGTTTCCTTTACTATTGGCTCACTTAATTTTAAACTTTGTTGAGGAAATCTCATTCATGACTGATATATTACTAAAGAAATTAAATAACAGTACATATATAGTATGTACTACTCAAATCCTTTTTACTTTGCCTGATGCTTTTGGAGACCTTAACATATTAGGCTGCAACCACCACCAAAATAAGACAAGAAATGTACCTCCAAAAGCAGTTCTCAATAATCTGTACAGATAACGCACTGATGGAGTCAGCAAGTGATTAAAAAACTTAACAGTACCTGTCTTATTTTAGTAAGTTTAGTGATGCCAAGGATAAACTCCTCCAAGTACAATATTATGTATTTTTATGATGGTAGACCAATACCATCACAATCATACAAATCATGTTCAGCAACTGGTAATAAAACCATCGCTATCTTTATAGTAATACAGAACATTTGGATATGGTACTGATATGAAGGAAAACCAGCCCCTTACAGCAGTGAATTACAATGTACGTGAGTTCACACTTTCAAATCTGAAGTTCAAATTCTCTTCACTTTGAAGTCAAGGTCTTTATCTGCAAATTATCAGTTATGAAAAAACTGACCTCCAACTCTCTGACTATCTTGATGATTGACTGTTGAGACTGTGCAGCACATTTTTCCTTTACTAAGCCCTCATTTTTCAGTTCAAGTTCTTCGTTGGCTCTCAGAAGGTTCTTGTACTTAGTCAGGAGCTCCTGCAATTCCACATCCTTTTCTTTAACTGTTCCATCAAGTTTCTAACAAAAGAAAACAACCAGACAGTTTTACTCTAGTTTTATATTGCAAAATAGGCAAACAAGCAAAATTTAAGAATGATCAGGCACGTGTTTTTTACCACACAAAGGAAGAACTCAATTTAACATAACAGAAGCAAGAAAAGATCCAACTTTCTCCAGCAATCCAATCTTTCAAGTATTAAAACCCAAGGCATGTACCTTGGTCTCCAAATCAAGTTGAGAGCAACCTCAACTATTACTCTTTGCATTGCTGGTTGAATACCATCAGAACTTTCCAGGGTTACATCTCTAGCTACAAGAAACTCTGAGCAGGGGTCCATTAACATTCAGGCAGCTCCTTCCTATATGTCATTGTGAATAGGCTCCAAAAAAAAGAAGATTAAATATTTCAGTATCTCTACCTATTCCTCAACTCCCAGTTTCTGCACAATAAACTGACAATCAAAGGCATTTCAGAGCTTTTAAAGTATCTTACCACAACAGTGAAAACTCTACTAAGTATTAGTAAAGCTTTCTTCCTCCTCTGTCCACACGCTTCATAAAACCCTAACAAGAAATCTTCTTGAATGCCACACACTATAATTATATCTCTATTCTTCAAATACAGTGTTATAGAAAGTGAAGGAATTTCATCCAAATCAATAGTAATACCAAATACAAACGTGATTTTGTATTAATTTCTCATACAGAAATCAAATTATAACTTTCAACTTTTCATTTCAAGCCTACCTACCTGAAGCAGTAGATCCTTTTGACTGATGCTGTCTGTTAGCTGCTTGATAACTAGTTCTTGGCTCTGCAGCTTCCGATTACTTTCACTCAAAAGAATATTGTAATGATGTTCGAGCGCTTGCTCTTTCTCAGTCATTTCACTGTGTAATTTCTCCAGTTGATTTCTAAGATCCTACAAAACAAGCGAAACTGAATATTCAGCAAATCAACTCTTTTAAAAGTTTAAGCCTAACAACCCATATTATTAGTTGAACTTTCCATTGCTTTAAACTCCTCCTATCACTTAAGAGTTTGGAAAGGGTATTTAATCCAGGCTCTTTCTCTTGGCATCAACACAGCATGAAAGAGAACTTTTAGATGAGGTGTCAGTGCTGTCTTCCAGGTTGCTATTGTTTAAATGCTTTTGGTACAGAATGACTGGGCTCCAAGGCTATCGGGAATATCATGCACGTACATGTTGCCACTGTCAGAATGAGCACTCGCTTCTGAGTCAATTTACTGCCTTACTAGAAATAGGAGAAAATTGGTTACGGGTGATTCAGTTTGTCATTTGCTCTTTTTCTCATCACACCATGAAAATTCTTGCACTAACATTGTATTACCAGTTCCTTTTGCATCAAACAAAAGGTCACAAATGTTAAAACATTTTCTTTTTGGCAAGAGCACAAACTTCAAATGACCACTGAGGTCAGATTTGTGATTAGATGCTGTGGAGAGAACTGCAGCTCGATTCTGGCTCTGTTAATTACTTCCTGCAGCTCCAAGATTAACTGCATCATCTCCACAGCTTTGCTCCCCATAAGCCCATTTTGCCTCCAAAAGACAGAAACAAGCTCTTTCAATAACCATGTGCAGTAGCAAGTCCAGAGGACTAAGATCTGTACAGACCGATGAGGACTACTGCAATTCAGAAAGAAGTACCTCCTAGTTCACAGGAACACACTGGAAGCACACCACTGTTACAGCTTTCTCCTTTGCATTCCTGCAGATCCTGTTCCCATTCACTTGAAAACCCGCCATCTGTAGTTACCTATGGGGTTTCAAAGCCTGACCACCTAACAAAGCCTTGGGTTCCAAGCAATAACAGCAAAGAACTCCTATTCCTTACACTTGCCTAAGAACTGGCTTCTCTCGTTTCATCTCCTCTCCCACCACCACCATTTGTGTCACTTCAAACTGTTTTGCTGGAATCTTCAACCCTGTCAGCTGAAGGAGGCACAGCTTGTATATACGCTAGCCTCACTTGCATATATACTAAGAGCCTCATTGTATAAGCTCTTATTCCCCAAGAAGATCCAGAGAATTTTACTGCATGTGTAGAAAAAGAGAAGTAGGAACTTGTAACAAAGGAGCTGCTGTTTGAAGTTAAACAATTAAAACTTAGAGGAAACTTTATCCCATCTAACCTTCTCTTCAGACCCATAGAACCAGGTAACACAGCCTACACCTTCAAATAAATGTTTTCCTTTTATTCCCAAAGAGGGCCCATTTGTGAAGTACCATAAGCCCTTTAAATAGTTTGCACATATGGTAGTCACCTATCAACTTTACATTTACCTCCCATGGGATCTCAAATGCAATAGCTGCTTCCCATTCTAAGTACAAAGAAATAGTACTAGTGACACTTTAATTGCAAGCTCTTTACAAACTGCTTTATGTCCTTTTCTTGGCTTAATTACCTTGCTTCATGCAGGTTCACATCAAATCTTTAACATCAATTTTACTACTCAGTGTTTTACTTCTGTTTATTTTGCACATTAAATGCAAATCGTCATTTACAATGCCTTTGGTTTACTTGCTTCATTACCAGGATTCAGCTAAAAAATCCCTAATAGCTCCCCAAAAAAACCCTTGAATGTTATTCAAGCAATGATTAAGCTTAGACCTTCGGTTCTGAAAACTAATTAAGTCAATTTTTTTCAGGATCAAAAGAACCACTTCCTTAACTAAGAAAACTGAAGAGTTGCAGAATCAGATCCCAGGTTTGTCTATATACATAAACTCTCAAATAAGTTTCTATTTCTTCCTAACTACTACCTATAACCTGGAATGTGACAGAGCTCTCTTGGAAACAGTGCAAGGTCTGTTGTTTGGCTTCAAGGTACGGAGCTCTTCAAGGGGGTCACATTAAGCCTGTTCACATAGAACATGTTAATTGGAAGCAAAGGATCAGCTGCAGTGTTACAATTGTCACTGCATTGCAAAGTTCACTCCTTGGCTTTCCATTTGTACATTGCTTTTATACTATCACATCACTGAGAGGCTTTAAGTGAACACATTACATGTTAGGTAACTTCAAAGGAACACTTTTGATCTCTGCTATAAGTTCAAGTGCCCAATACTCTGTGCCTTCTCATTATGAAAACAATATACAGCTTTAAGAAGGAATGATGATAGACATGCATAGATAGAAAAGATGCTGTTGTAGTAACAGTAGTACACCCCCTATCATCTACTCTCAGTCATCTTGGTGTACAATGCTTGTCAGGTACAGAAAGCATGCCGCTGCCTTGAAAGCAGCAAAAAATAAGTTATGGCTAGGTTTATGGAAAGAGGTAGACTGACAAGGCATACAATTGTGGAGTAAGTAAAACAGCCTGCAAGAGACTTTCAATTTGCAGCTACTTTGTCTCTACTATTACTGCCCCCAGAGTTCCCTAAATCCTTCCCAAAACAAGCAAGGCTTGAGAATGAAAATTATCTTCTTTGCATGAGCTGGAATTCTGTAGCACAAAACTATCCATCACTATAGCAGGTTGCTCAAACTCATTGACCACTCAAATTGTCTGGGAGAATATCTATTGGTTTCTATACATTGAGTTGCAAGGATAATATAGTAGCTACAGCTCTTAAAGCATAAACTTTGCAATTCCCTCTGCCAACCTTTTTCCCCAAGAGACTTTTCTATGATTAATGATAGTTGAAGTAAGAAAATGAATGTGAAACACTCTAATATAGAAGACCAGAGCAGATGCCTCCCCCTCCTTGTCAGATGGAAAACAGTTTGGTGAATAATTGAGTTGTGAAGCTCCAAAACCTCCCTCTCAGGCTTAACTACAGACAGGAAGACTAAATAATAAATTCTGCCTAATGAGTTATTCTGTATTTCCCCAACCAACTGATCAAATATGAATACCTAGTAAATACACTCTAATTGTCTACACTTAGGCCTGGAGAGAGAATGGGTACTTGAAGTGTTTATTCATGTAAATGTGAACAAACTCTTTGATCAAGAAGCACTGAGTCTCTGTTACAAAGACACTAACATGGTGGACACAAGCAACATTAAAGATGAGATTATGTCTGATCCTCATCAATCAGATGTAAGAATATATATGCCCAAAGTTTCCGTTTTCAAAGAGGATAAATTGAATCAATGCTTGACAACAGCTTCTGCCAAGTACACAACTGGAAGAGGGTTTGCTTCTAAAGTTGACCTAGTAAAAAGCCAGTGCATGCACCCATACTGAGACAGGGATGCTGTCCAAGGACATCTACACTCATCCCTCCAGGACAGTTCTGATACTGGGCCCAGTCTGTGATTTGTATGATAAGCTCGCATGTAGCAGTCTTAACTTAGGTCAACCTTCTTCGATTCCAGGACAGTAACACCCAAATCATCTCCAACCAAACTGGGTTTACAACAGGGAAGAAGAACTTTTTCTGGAACTCAAGTTTTAAAGGTTTTTTAATAGATACATGCAAAAAAGTGGGTTATCCCAATTACAGTATTGAAAAGTCACTAAAAATTTCCCTGTGAGTGAATGAAGAGCCAACAGAGCAGCTCATTACAGATGTCAAGGGCATTTTCTGCAGTTTACACACATTCAGGCTGCTTTTATTCTAACAAAATAGAAACACTGATGAATAGGTATTTTGGAGTATAAATAGAACTGAATTTTTAAGGCTGTCTCATAAAAAGTTTGCAACCGATCACTGAAGTGCTTTTCTATTTGTCAAAGAGCAAAATATCACAGCATATTTTCTTCCTCCCACATAGCTACTACTTAATGGGCAACATTTCACAGGCAATGGTGCTGTATCCAAATGTACCAGCAACTCTTGAAATTGAAGCAGCTGTTCTACAAGGAACAGGAAATAGGTTAGGGATATAATTTTTATAAGACTGCTCATCTTTTGGCAGGAATGCTTTTCCCCAAGGAACTAGTCATTTACATGAAAACCTTGGACGTAATGGAGGCAAATAGGTTTCTGTAACACAAGTAACTTTGAATCCCCTGGCAACTCCCTACTCAGCCCTATTTTTCCTGCCTTTGCTATACAGAGTTATAGCCTAATTCCCCTGAAAGACAGAAAAAGTTCTGAATAGCGCAGACATATAAAATACTTTAAATCAATAAAACATGTTCTTTGTGGCTGTTTTACTGACAGGAGCGATCTGTTCTTTCTCTCCTTAACCTCAACACCCCGAAGGAATTTCAAAGCACACCAAAGATAGAGACTTTGTGACAGCAGCCTAACCACAGTTGACAATCAACCGAACATGCAAGTTAAATTGGGGACAGGAGGAGGAACTAATTTGTTTGTAGGTAAAGAGTCCCCTCTACTGGTTTCAAGTGAGATTGCACGAACAGCAATTTCCACCCGTATCTGCTTTATTAAGGTCCTTATTTAAAAATTGAACCGAAACAAGACAAGCTCATTTAATCTTTTATGTAATTTAATAAAGCAGGAGACTAATCCCTAACTGAAGATGACCAGACTCTACACGTAGGCAGGACTCACTCATTAGAGAAATGCTGCCCTAATGGAAGCTTTGGTTAAAAACACACATGAAGAGATAAGAAGAGAGAGGTGAGTTTTATGGCAACCTCTCAGCAGAAAGTGCACTCTTTCTCAAAGGAAGAAAAGGAACCTGATCATTCACTTCGATGCTGGGAGCAGAAGCGCTTATCTAAATGCCTACAGCAAGGTAAAAAAAACCTACGTGGAATATGAAGCAAGCAAAGTTAATGAACAGATAGAGCACATCATTTTTAGGTTAAATTGTGATCAACTAATCCTCTGCTTTGGGAATTTTACAAGCAGAAATTATTAAATTGCCTTCTGAAATGAAAGCCTTTGTAGTGACCCTGCTATGATAACAAAAAAAGCCGAAGTTTGGCTTATGGTCGCAACTATTCGCTACTTGTTCCTCTTCTGCATTAGAACTTACAGTTTAATTGAAGTAGTGTAATTAAAGATATTGTAGAGATATGTAACAAGAGAAATACAGCAGAAATATACAATATACACTGCTGTGCACGTTCAGATTCTCTCATCAGACAGAAGCCAATAGTAACCATTTAGCGCTTCCAAAGGCTAATGATATTTTCGAGGACCTAGGCTTATCAAAATGATATTTAACATATTTTTCAATGCAGACTACGTGCCAGGCAATCTTCTTGGCCATTCTTTTGAATACTGACTTTAGGGAAATGCATTTCTCAAATTTACTTATATTAAACCCCTCAATTTGTTAGAGAAGGACATGCTCAAAGTGCTAAACTACTTTTAAACTTTATGAAATAAAGGAAAAGAGTGATAATAACATTAATGGTTTTGTCACTTCTGCTCTTCTGTAGTTGTGCTTCATCCAGCTCCTTCTCCATTTTCTCTCTTTCTAAATTCAAATCATTGAGCTCTTGATCGGTCCTTTTAATCCTCCTTTGTAGTTTACGATTCTCAGCATCCTTTGTAAGGTTTTCTGAACGCAGCTCTGCTAAGAGGGTCTCTTTTTCCATCAAGAGAGCTTGATAATCTGCAGCACCCTGAAACATAAAGCAGCATCCAAGTTCTATAAGGGTATTTTGTAGAGGCTGGAAGTCTTCACTCCTGTTGTGCCCAAACCCACTCTCACACATCTCTTTCCAGCGCTTCAAAACTGTGGTGCAAAAATGCAGTGGAGTGACAGTTACTCACACAACAGGGAAAAGGTTACACTGAGCATCTTCCCAACCAATGGAACACAACTTTCAGTTGCATCCAGTGCAGGATAACAAAGCCTTAGACAACTAAGGACTAGACAAAGGTTGACCTGCAAAGGAGTCCATAGTGCAAGTGAGATCGTATTATTATTACTGGCTCCCAAAGCTTTTATTACATAAACTTTGTGTCAGTTTGAATCCAGACTAAGTCAACGAGTAACCAAGTCATAAGCATATTGTTGTATATGAAATAACATGTGATTTATGCTCTTCCCCATCACACACTGTTAGAACTGGCCTCAAAGTTCACAACACATGATAGGAGTAGTGGGCTATGCAGCATGGTCTACTCACAGAGAACTGCCTTCAACTCGTTTGTAGCTAAGTAGCAGAGTTATGAGGAGAAGGGCTTGCTCTTTCACCCACCATGCAATATGGATTCTGTGGACAGGAGGGATTAGATGCACACTTTTTAAACCTAGAACTTCTCAAAAATAATCAAGTTTTCATTAAAACAAAAGGGTTAAAATTAGATAAATACTTCAAAGCAGGACTTCCATTGGTATGAAAAAGCAAACGTTAGCTACTGATTCACACCCAGGCCAAAACGTCCTGAAGAAGCAACAGGATATGCTTTTCAATATAGGGCACACTTAAAATTTGGGCTTAAGTGAAATAAATGGCTTTTGAAGAAATGCAGGTGCTCTGTGAAAACTAAAGATCACTACTGCATTAGACTGACATCAAGAAACAGTGCAGTCAGTCACAAAAGCTTTAGCTGTGTGTATTCCAGACACAAGCACATCAACCTCTTCCATTCCTGCTGAGCTCAGAGTGGATATACAAACATCATCATGGAAGATTCATCACTGCCTCTAATCTGCATTAGATACTTTTATCAGACTTAGTTTTAGATGAGTTTGAAACCATTACAAGAGACATTATGTTGTCTGCTTTAATGTCAAACTCTTGCTTTCCCCCAGTTTACATTTTAAGACCTTTATAATGCATAATTTATCATCATAAAGTCCCTTCTCCTACACACACAGGAAAGCATTACTAAATCACATTTCACAAGTAACATTCCACTCTTTTATAAATAGTGGTTTCACATTTATTATACAAATAAATCCAAACAGGTGCCTCATAGACAGTTCAACTCTGCTAACCTGAAGCATGTGTTGTTACCATACTTTTGGTACAAAACCCAAAAGATTCTTAGGTCAACAAAGCAACCTTGATACCATCTCAGCTCCACAACTCTCAGTGCCTTTATTTTTAACTCATTTTGGTTTTGCACATTTCTCCCTTGGTTTTCAGTTGTTATAAAAGAAACTCAAGAAACAGATAAATTTTAACACTCTGCCCTTCAAATGGGTTCAAACTTACATAGGGGAAGTTCAGGGTAGATATAAGGAAGAAGTTCTTCCCTGTGAGGGTGGTGAGGCACTGGAATGGGTTGCCCAAGGAAGTTGTGAATGCTCCATGTCTGGCAGTGGTAAAGGCCAGGTTGGATGGAGTATTGGGTGACATGCTCTAATGTGAGGTGTCCCTGCGCATGGCAGGAGGGTTGGAACTAGATGATCTTAAGATCCTTTCCAACCCAAACGATTCCGTGATTCTAAATGATTTGATTTGGGAAAACTCTTCAAAGTGAGAGAAATCAGACATCTTAAACTCATTTCCACTTCTCTGCTTTCAGAGACACAAAGCACTACTTGCTGCGGGGAACTATAGAGTAGGGAGGAGCAGGGATGAGGGAAACCATATTAACTGCTTGCTTCTTACCTTGAATTTTTGCATATGTGCTGTGTGAGTGGCCTCTCTTGCCTTAGCCAGTGAAGCATTTAGAACTTCAATTTCAGATCCAAGCTCCTCATTCTTTAAATAAAGTATAATGAATACTATGTAGAAAGAGTTATTTCCAAGGGACAGTGATTCAGTAATAGCTATCCCATCTCATTACCCATTCATCCAAATACACTAAACAAACACTTCAGAAAACAAAGCCACCCAATACATCATAATAAATCTTGTCTAAATAAGTTCTGGTTCTTATACAGGACTCACTCACTGCCCATCTCTCAGGTTATGTATTTCCCATGCTTCAACAAAATCTGAATACCAGCTGAAGCTGACCTCTCCTATTTTAGGTGTCTTTATGACAGCTCCACTTACTCAACACCACAAAATACTTCTCCTACCTTTTAAGTGGTGCACAGAGCTGATAAAAATCAATGTGCACCTGAAAGCATCTTTCATCTTAAGTACTTTTTCCTTTCTCCTCAAGTCCAAGACCCAAAACTCTAAATAAACAGAGCTGCTTACAGCTATGACAACAGTGATTAAGGACCCACCAGAAGCATCTAACGGTTACAGTGAGGCACAGCCAACCCCTGCCCCACACATAACACACATATTCCTCTCCCAGTAATAGTTCAGCAAGATCATAACTACCATACCTCTTTTTCCTTCACTTTCAATGCAATAGTTAGCCCTTGGATAGTTTTATCCCTCTTCAAACCATTCTTCTTTTCAACAGCAAGCTCATTTTCTCTCTCTTGTAGCTGTTCTTGAAGGGACTAAATTAGATTATGTGAAAGTTGCATTAACTTCCCACTAAGAGATACTGTAACTGCACATTAATAAGTACATTCTCTCAGAGTTCTTCTATCTTATTACTTAGATTACTAACTAAATATCATCCCAAATGCAAGTCATCATCTTAAAGATGTGCCTGGAATACAGTAGAAGCTTAATCTCATGGGCTGGCCTTGAGTATCAGCTTCAATATGTGAGTGCACCCATCAGCTTTATTAAGAATTGCTTCAAAACCAAGGGGAGCCTTCCTGCCACCTAACATAAGAGAATTTACCAGAAGACTTTGCTTTGCTTCCTTTGGAATCAAGGCCTCTTTGTAACTATGAATGCATAACAGAAGGGATCCCAACAGGTACTGTAAGTGATCAAGGAAGCAACTAAAACCAGAACTTACCTGAATCTTCTTTTCAAAGGAGTTTCTCTCATTCTTAAGCTCCATTCTAATAGCCTATAAGAACAAAACAGTTGTTAGAGTCAAGTAAATTTAGTCTAAACACAAGTGTAACACATTAAACTGGACAAAATGAGCTTAAAAACATTGGGGAGGAAAAGAAAAGCAAAGAACCTTAGTATATGCCTTTTGGCAGGAACATGTATTTATATATGATTTTTTAAATCATATATAAATGTGTATATATGTTTACATATATTAAATTATTAAATTAAACTAATATATTAAATTATTTAATATATTAATATTTAATATGAAAATATTAATATATTAAATATAGTAAGTTATTAAAATAGCTTTTAAAATACATATGATTTTTAAAAACATTTATAAACAGCAGGGTTGTGTGAAGTGATTCATCATGGGTTTTTCTCCAATACTGCATCCCAAAATGATCACATAGTCAGTCATAGAATCAGCTTGGTTGGAAAAGACCTATAAGATCAAGTCCAACCATTACCTCAGGACTGCCAAGACCACCACTACTATACCATGTTACTGAGGGCTTTCCCTACATGGTTTGTGAACACTGTCCACTTCCTATAAATGTTTTAAAGGTGACCCTGTTTTCACCTGAAAACACAAATACTCTGGGGAACTCAGGGTAATTTTTCCTACTATATACTGATTTAATTGCAGATTTTAATCAGCATAATTATACAGATTTTTCCTGTGAATACTGATTTAATTGCAAGACCACCCAAAACTTCTAATTCTACTCATTGGTCCAATCATACAAGGTTCTCTTGTCTATTCCTGACAGAAATCAAAGGTCTGCAGGTACTGATCAATATTAACTTCTAAAACCAAAGGCAGTAAAACTTCTCAGAAGCACCAGAAGCCTCCATGATTGCTTTCTTAATTCTGCCAGCTTTAATTTACTGCTTGAATAACCATTGGAGGAAAACAAAGAGAGACAACAAGCCTTAAAAGCTCTATCTACATGTCAGCTTTCAGGATATCTGTCTTCCTATTTAAGAGCCAAGTGAAATAGAAGGCTAACAGCACCTTTTCTAAATGAAAGATTAGACTTCCCCTTTATTTCATGAAGGGTTTTTAGGCCTACCCCCCTTAACCACAGCTTTTTCTCCAGACCATAACAGTAGAGATACTTCCCAACACTTAAATCCCAAGTCACATTCTTAACTTCTTTAGCAGCTGTGGCATCTATTGAGGGATAGATTAACATCTAGCATTTTTCTTTTTTAATATATACTTCTGTAAAGAAATTGCACAGTATCTATAACAGGCACAAAGTCAAGGGGAAACAGGACCTCTCACTGAATGAATGGTAAGCATGGGTAATAAGGATGAATGTTGACCAGTAAAACACAATCTCACCAGTGAATGTTACAGAACAGAGAAGGGAGACAGGGAGGGAACAACCATGGAGAAGAATATTTTAAAAGACTGGCTTAAGTTACTCATATACTGACATGCACAAAGCCTTTAAAATCGTCCACCACATGAGATTTAACACATAGAACTGTTCAGTCAGTTTCCTCACCTCTATCTCACTATCTTTTTCATGCCTCAAAGCATTGGTAAGTTCTCTGATCTTTTCTGCTGATAAGTTCCCATCATAAGATCCACTCTGAGCCTTTTCCTCTTCCAGGCGTTGAATTAAAGCTTCTTTACTTCTCAGTGACAGATTCAGTTCCTCTATAAGTCTGAAATTACAAAATCAATATTAATCTTGCATCATGTACCACCATTGTAGTAAATCTTGCAGACAACTTCCCTAGGTGAAGGCTCCAGACAACACTTGTGAAACTCTGGGGAGGACTTTCACAACCTCTTTTCCCTCCAGAGAAACCAACAAAGGTGAAGTAACTTTACAACAAGCAACAAACAGTGTTGAGCCCCTGCAAAGTGCTCATTCTTCTTTTCAAATGTCAACACTTAAGCTTCAACATTTTAGTTACATCGTCCTTTAGAGCATACACAAAAAGCTTACCAATCTATTCCATTTCATACACCACCATATCTTTTCATGTCATCACTGAGTATCCCCCAAGTACTCATTTACATGTATATTTGTACCTAAGCTGGTTCTCATTTCACAGCAATGCTCATGTTTCCTGAGAGATATCAGGGTTATTAAGGCAACACTTTCTGGCATAAAATGCCAGCTGTGATTCCCTTTGTATATTGTAGCATAAATGGTGAAAGGATCTTTTTAATACAATATGAATTCCAGATGTGCTACTCAGACAAATTTAAAGCACTGCATGTTAACATTTGATTCACTTCAAGAAGTCAAATGCTCTCTTCTTCCATTAGCACTATGTTTTTCTAGGCCTGTGAATACTTACACCGATCTACCAGCATGCTATAGATGATCCTGCTAACACTGGATCATGGAGGGAAAGCTAAAGAGAGGAGAAAACCACCAAAACTAAAACAAAACCTTCATTATACTCCAATCCTGCCAATTTGCTTCCACACTTCAAATACTATTTTCACACAAGCTGTCAACTAGAGTGCCTCTGAAAGGGACTGGCTTTAGACCTCCTTCCCTGCTCAAGTCTCTCCAGAGAGCAACTGTACCCAACACAGATGACTAACAGATAGAAAGAGGAAGACAGGGAAAGGAGGGAGATAACTTGAGATCCAGGTTATAACTAAGTCATGGCACATAAGGTGCAGTATCAAAACTTATTAGAACAGATTCATAATTTTATGCCACAACAGATTTCAGATTGGCAGTTTTCAATCTCTATGCTTTTGGAAGAACTGTCTGGAACACACTGCAAACCTTGCTTTGGTGCTACCATAACATAAAGCCTACAAAATGAAAGCCTCAGGCCACCACAATTGGGTAGACCAATTATGCAGTGACTCACAGAGCAGCTACCTGCAGGGCTCAGTCACAGATAGGAAAGGATACTCTAACATATAAGGAATCATAGCAATCTTTTGATCTCCATTCAGGGCTCATATCCCCAAACCAATCCAGCTTTATTGGGAGGCTTGCCAGGAGTATATTTTACCCTACATACCTAAAAAAGAAAAACCCTCCAAAGGATTGAGATTTTATTTGATACATTTTTCCCCATTTCAAGTTAAGGAACAACTCGCACACCTTTGCCACTACCTGCCAAACAAAGCCAAGCCAATGCTTTGCAAAGCACAATCAAAACAGCTCAAACACACTGTTTCTCTCCCCATTAGGCTTACTAGCCTCAACATACACATCCCTGGGACTGCAGAGTTCATAAGCACCACAAAAGCAGTAAGTGAATACAAATGGTAGAGTCAAGTTCTATTCAGTAGTGGTTCAAGAAAGCAGCAGGCAGGAGGTAAGTCAAAGTTACAAAGATGCTTTGAAGTAGGACATGCTCATGTCACATGCATACTGATTGTTTTACACTTTCAGGCAACTTTTAAAGGTGATTTTTCTATCATGCACCATGTAAACTGGTTGCTGTGTTGCTATTCATTTAATAGCAGAATAGATAAGATGGCCAGTAACACTCACTCATGTATCTGAGGGTAGGATCAAACTATCAAAACCTATAAATCCATGTTGACTCTTTGCACTTGAACAACAAAGAATTCCAGTAGTCAGAAGCAGCACCAGCAAGAGTTCTGACCTGTCCTTCTCAGCTCCTGTAACCATATCCACGTCTTTCGCAGGGGCATTCATAATTGAAGCAAGTTTCTGCTCAGCAGCTATTCTCAGAGCTTTCTCCTTCTCTGTCATTGCAACAGCTTTTTCCACATCTTCTTGGGCAGCTTTAAGATCCTGTAATTAAAAAACACACAATCCTGATGCCTGTAAGAAGAAAATGTTCACAATTTTCTTTCGCATATTTAAGTTTCTTCTCCCAAACATATGTTGGCATGTTTAATTTAGCAACTTTTACCAAGTAGTTCAAGCACTTTGAGAATGCTTCTGAACTCTTTATGGTTTAATCTTGAAAACGCAGACATTTTCCAGATACACAGAAAAAGGGAAGTTTGTTTCAAAGAAATAAAACAAATACCCTGATAGCAGAACTGGAATTAAAAGTGCCCCTATGCTATGGTTTTAGATTTAGCCATTATAATTCGGCTTTGTCCCACTGTCTTCTCACTATCATAATAAATAGCTACACTTACAGAGGTTAAACAAGAGCTTTTTTATTACATCAGAGATGAAATTAATATTCCCAAACTCACTGTAGCTAATTGGAACTCTTCCCAACATCATTTATAATATTTTGCAAGAATTGATAAAGTCTGAACCTGACCTTTTTCTCTTCAACAGCAATAGAATGGAGATAATACCCAGAGATTCCAGTCAACCTCCTCTAGGTGACCCAACTCATGGGGAACACCAAATAACCCCACGCTTCTCTTACATGAAATTTGTTTCAGATCTTCATTTTGACATTGTAAGCTTCTCCACTGTGCTCACTGAATTGTGTTTTCTATGAAACAGAAGCCTCCTTGTAGCCTAACAAGTAATTCCCCTCTCCATTTCATATCTATACTACAAAGCATATCTCTTTGGGGGAGCTTGAAGAAAAGGTCCTTCACCACCAGAGTTCACCACCCAACCCCTTTAATGAAAACCTGATCTGTCAGTACTCACCGTTCAATCAAAACCTCTGAATTAAGTTAACCTTTATTAATGTTACCTGGGTCTGTATCATTATATGCTACATATTGCTACATAAACAAGTGACTAAAACTACTCTGCAGTGTTCACATTGAGAAGCATAATGAAATTGATATCAGAGCCCAACACAGGCTACAAAAAACACTGTATCACCAAGAAATTAAGAGTATTTGGCCTTATACCTTGGCAGATCTGGAAAACACCAGTCTGACTGTCTGGTTTAGTACAGAGTAAGTGATTTAGGAACTTCTCTACCAATGCAATATCATGAAGAATGTCTTGAGAAATCCCCATTCCACTAAAGAAAGGTCGTGGAGATTCCCCCCTTCTCCTGTCTGCAGGAGCTCCCTTCTTTCTGAATACTGCTAATTCCTGATAGAAAAATACGATCAGGAGACCACTACTAATACCTTCCATGTCTAATTCATTCTTTAGGAAGGGAAAGCATATATTGACATACATCCATTTGTGCTATTTCTGTTTACTTCCAGGAAGAGCAGCAGACCTCTATCCCTCTCACAAACACAGCTATAAAATCCCACACGTCCAGTGAAGTGTACACAGACAATGATGCAAAACAACCGTGAGTTTATGTATTTCTAGAACTCGACACAAACATTTCCAGCACAGACCACTCAGTATCACATTTGTTCTTTACAAGAAATTGAACTTCTTCCTTCTAAGGAAGCAGGTTATTCATGCAAAGAAATTTGGGGGTTTTGGCTTTACACTACAAGAGGAGGAAACACGAAGCAATTCCCCTGTAAAGAGGCAATTTAAGCAATGTCTTGAGAATAAATAGAGGAATAAACTGTCTCAACCACAGAGAGCAAGGAATTCAAAAAGCCATTGTTAAGAATAACCCTCTGGAACAGGAGAATGTTATGCAAAAAGATATAGTAGCAGCAGAAGCCAACAATATTTGGCATAAAGGTCCATCTAACAACAGAATGCAAGAGGCAGAACAGAGGGAAGCACTCACTGGTTCACCTACCCAGAAGCTGCCATAAGTAGGTGGGCTCTCAGCCTATAATGAACAAGCAAGAGTGGAGATATAGAAAGCGTCTAGAAAGAACAGGCATTCTATAACCTCTAGGCAAAAACAGTCATTCTATGGAGAGGCTATTTTTCCAGGAAAGCTGAAAATACAGGTAGATGACACTATGTAATCTCAGTCAACAGCACCAAGGCAGTACTGATTCCTAACTGCTCCTTCCATTTCAGTTACCCACCTTTTGCAGCAAGTTTATTCTGCTAGTCAGGATTTCTTCCATTTCTTGCACCTTCTTTTGTGCCTCTTCTTTTACACGCTGCATTTCAGCATCACCACCCTGGGCCAAGCTTTCAACTGCCTTACTGAAAGGTCATAATATAGATAGAAAGCTCATTACATAACAAAGTGGAAGACATTTAAAGTGAGACTGGATAGTAGATTACACACGAGCAAGCATCTACCACTTCATCTGTACCTCCTTGTCACTTTAAGGTTAAATACAAACATCTACACCCTATATAGCAATGAGTTCCACATACAAGCCTTGGCACAGCGGATAACCAATCACTTTTCATCATTCATGTAAGCTGTAATGATTCCTTCATATTTTAAGCTTCCAAATACAGTATCAAGGCTTTGGTAGAGATGTATTTTCTATTGAATGCAGCAGTGGAATAAAGTCAAGTTATACAGCTGCCGAGATCTCTCCAACTGCCTTCTCAGTAACTGTTAATACCTTGAAGGAACACAACAGCTAGTGCTTCCTTACTAAACAAAGGATGACCACTTGGTTATGACTTCTCCCTAAACTTTCTGAACTTGTGCAAGGTTCCATTCAAAGCCCAGCAACAGCCTTTAACAGTTACCTGAAGAGACCAAACAAAAACTAATCTGGTCCTCAGGATCTACTCGAAATTAGGCTCCTCTGTGAAAAAAAAGGCAAACTGGTAACAACTCATTGCCATATGTATTAGGCCACACAACGAGAATCAGCTGAAACTGAGCTTGTGTAGCAGTCAGCAGCCATCAGTCACTGCCAGTCCAGGTTAGTTTTGAACATGACATCTAGAAAGAAGCAGTTTAACAGGCTATTGTCAGCCCTACTTATCCATTCCCTCTTCAAAGCATATTCCACCCTGCCCATGCTGTAAAACAATGTAGCATTATAATTTTTAAATAAATAATATTTATTTAGAAAAGAGGTTCTAACAGAAAGGCAGGAATTCGAGGTGTATTCACATTGATATCATTAAAACCCACAAGACCCATTCTAGATTAGCTCTGAACTGTTTCCTAAGCCTTTCTTAGAACCGTTTTGTGTCTTCTCAATCCAGTGCTGTTAAAATAACCTCCACCTCTTCACCTGCTGAGACTATTAAGCTCTTAACTTGACTTCTACAACAGGTATGCTAAGCCATTCTCAACTAGGGAGTCATTTATGTACTTGAAAAAAACAGTAGAATGAAGGAGATCAAAGTCACTCCACTCAGTGTAAGTAAATTAACATCATTGTGCATTTAAGAATTCACACATGTGATTTCAGCAATGAATAATTGCGTGATAAGTATCCTTAAAATACTACTTTTGGGGATCCTCATATTCCTAAAACATTAGGGAAAAAAACAGCAGCAAGATCTTGGAAATCCTAAGTAACAGACATGAAGAAACACACTGGAACTTACGAGGCTTTGATAAGCAGCTTCTCTCCCTCCTGCAGATCACGCTTCAGACTTTCAATCTCAACTTTCAGCTCAATGTTCTAGGACAAAAGAATTAAGGTGTCTGGGGAGAGCTCAGAGGTCACCCTACCCAAAAGTTATTGGCAATGTGTCAATTACTTTTTGTTTGGACCAGCAAATATAACATATCAGTGGGCTAAGAATAGCCTAGAGATATTTAAGCTTTAAAGGACATATTTTGCAAGGTTCAAGATTTCAGAGATCTCAGAAAGCATTTAGGACCATTGTATTAAAGCAAGACAAATCCCCTACACACACTTTACTATAATGACCGGTACTGCAGATCAGCACAGGGAGTTACTAAAGCTTTCAATGCAGGTTTTTTTCTTTGACCTAAGATATATTTTGTATTCTTTTAAAAACCTGATTGTATCAACTACAGAGTTATTTAATAATCTTAAAATTACTTTGGTACAGCCCAATAAAACAACTCAGGACATAAGTACACACTGTACAAAGAACAACTGCAGGTTTACAGACACCATTTCAGTAGGTTAACCATTACAAGATACCAGCATAGAAGACCAGGACAGAACACCCACCAGCAATATTCAGTTGAAACCACGACCTAGCTAAACATCAACTTATAACTTAAGTCTCTTGGTGCTTGTTGCAGTAGTTAAGTTTCCATCCTATTATGGAAAAGGGATCTGAGGCAAGCACCTGTTATAAATAACATGCTACTGAAATACCAAAATGATTTTTTTCTCTTCTAGAACTCAGGCACCACCAAAGGTGCTTCCTATCATCTGCAAGCCTGAAATAATGAGGATGCAAAACATACCACTTGACTCTTCGAACTTCTTCAAACTTATAGAGGTCAGTTTCTTCCACAAACTGACACAGATTTCCTGAATCCAGTACAAATATGCATTCTTTCAGTTCACAGCCATAAAACTAGAAGCTATACACAACCCTAATACAACTTCTACTCGCTTTAAACCATCTCCAAATAGCTGAACCAACACCTGATAAACCCAGGAAAGAATAGAGGGTGAACTGAACTGCCGGATGGTAGAAAGCAGAGTAATTACATACCAAACTCACAAGTGTGCTGCTGCTGCTACTATTTCCCATTCAGTATCTGATTTGAGTAGTACAGCTACCAAAGATTGATAGCCATTCAGTGGAAACATAACATCTTAGTCTGTCCCATACCTATGGACACTCATGCATTTGAAACTCATTTTTCCACATCTTATACTGGTTCTTTCAATTTAGTTATTACTGGAAAGGATTAAGCTATGAGAAAACAAACTCTTCAGAAAGATAACCTATTAAATTCTTCTAAATGCATACAATTTTGTATATTTCTTCAGTGGGACCATCAAACTTCTGCTGCATTCGTTCCTCCAGAAAGTATATACGAAGCTTCAGGTTGAAGTTCTCTTTTTTCAGATCAGTGATTTGCTGTGAAATAAGAAAGGAGAACATTATGGCATGTGTTTCAAACCAAGTAAGCTAAACAGTGAAGACTACTACCATTTAGGGTTGCTCTCCACATTGCAAGATCGGAATTCGTACAATCATAGAATCAACTAAGTTGGAAAGACTCTTAAGATCAAGTCCAACCATTACCCCAGGACTGCCAAATCCACTACTAAACCATGTCACTGAGGGCCTTATCTACACTGCATACAACTAAACATATACTTATGTGTGGTTGATACACACATATATATATATTCAAATTGTGAAGGTGTTAATACCAGCATATGACATCCAAATGAAAATGAAATATCCTTCCCACCAAGATAGCACCACCAGGGAGCTGCAAACACTCCAAGCCCTTCAATGGGTTTCTATCTCCTACATCTTCAGCATGCATCACATTTTTCCTTCTACCATATCCCACTTCCATTCCTCACCTGAACAACATCAAATCCCAGCCTACCCCTTCAGAATGCTTTAGGGTTTGTTTTTTGCTTTTAGGTTTTAAGATACAGAGGCCCATTGGTACACACATGAATTTGTACATTTGTGCAAGACGTTATCATTTAGCTTGTGTTTAGTTTTAGCCCTGCAAAACTCGGAGACACCAGCAATTAAGCAAATAATTATAAAAGGGTATTGTTTAAACATATATAATACATGCTGTTGTGCAGACAATGCTTTTTAGAACGTTCCTTAAGTACTAAAACATTGTCTGACTTTACACAAAAAGAATCCAAGAGTTTGGAGGGGTTTAAATCTAAAAATATGAAGTAGCTCTTTCTTTCATAAGAAAGAACTTGAACAAAACAAGATATCGTGTTGAAGCATTTTCTTGGCAAAAGCATGGGCTGGCAGCCTACTCACAGGAAGAAAAGCCACAGGCACACAAAGCACGTGTGCCCAATCGCACACCAATAAAACCTTTATCCCATCACATATTTCATAGTGCAATTCTTTGGTTATGGTTTTTACCCTTCCTAGTAGGAGCAGTAACATAGTTGATGGTTTCATTAAAGAAAGGAGTCTCCCTCTAAATTTCTTTTAAGGAACTGAGCATAAAACATTCATTCAAATAAGCCCTGTGTCCCCTGCCAGATGCTTTCAGCAAAAGGAAATCTAATACGTTACAGAGCTACTAATCAAATATTTATGTAGGCTCTCCCAGAACAGCATTGTACCATTTGTAAGAATTATTAGCAATACAATTCTTCAAATATTTGGCTTGTGAAACCTAAAATGATCTTTTCTAACTGCAGAACCTGTATCTGCAGACAATTCTGCAGTTCAGTCATCTGCCCAGCGATGTGCCTCAGCATTATTCACACTGGTAAGTATCATCCAAGGCTTTGAAAATACCCTTGACAACATCAACTCTATGGCCCATGCACACATCCTGAAGAAGCCTGTCTTTAGTGGCAATACATATAAGTTAACTTGACCCTTGTTTCCCTACAATTCCAACTGGATGATCACAAACAGTAGTGGACAAACTTGAACTATGCACATTGTAACTGCTTAAAGCATGGTACCTCAGGAGTATAATGAGGCATCTTGAGTAACTGGAATGAATCTTTCAGAACATTCGAATGGATGTAAGCATGAAAACAATGCAACTTTGTACTTGAATTCAAGTGACTGAGCCCAATGCAGAATACTGCTCAGAACTAAAATCCTTATTCAGAGTAAGGAAAGACATGAGAGACCTTCTAAAGCAAGGCTGCAGAACTGTGCTAGATTTTACATGTCTTGCTGGCAAGCTCAGCTCTTTGTTCAACTCATGAGAGCAGACCTTACAGCATTTGGTTTGGGGCTGTTGGTTTTAGGTTTTCTATGCTCTCAGTAGGTTATTCCTAATAGATAGTCCCTGTTTGTTCATTCAGAAACAGTCCAAAGATGCTCTGAAACTGTATTAGTTGAACTCCTTGTTAGAATTCACTCATACAACCCAGTCTGAGTCAGAAAGGAAGAAACAATTTCAAAAGAACTCCGTATATCTTAATTCTGCTCACATGTATTTCAGTGGCAATAGAATTAAATCAAAGAGCTTAAGGGTACTGTTTTCAACAGGCAAACAAAACAGACTACACAATCATAAACCAAGCAGTGAAACAAATGTTGTCTGTGACATTCAGTTGCTCAGAGGAAAGTTAATTCAGGCAGGCTACAATTAAAAAGTTATAGCTTAATAAAAGACAACATATAAAATGTGAGCAACTTCACACTGCAAAAGGATTTTAATGGCAATCATCTCAACTTAAGCATTTAAAGACTCAGTCTTAATCCCTTTCTGCGTTTTGATTTCTGTATTTAACAAAGGAATGAAAGAAGAGAAACAACAGACTGTTCCCAAAAAGAAAACCAGAACAAAGCAATACACTCTACACAGAATACTCTAGACAGCACGGTAGCAAACATCACTTGCCTAGCTTGGTTTAGCTCCTTTTCAAGTTCATAAAGCCACTTTTATGCCAAACAGCATCTGTCAGCAGAGGCTGTGGCTTCACAGCACAACACAGGTTTTGCTAGCAGAGGCCATTTTAACAAGACAGCAAAACTGAAAGTGGGTTTGGGGAAGCAAGAAATGAACACACATATACTATGACATAGTTCCCTAACTTGGTACTAATTGTCCTTTCTACTCATTAACATCTAGGAATAACAAGGCCCTCAGTTACAGATGTCTTTCACTTTACCCACGTATTCACATATTCTATTACAAGGTGGTTCCCCCCATATGGTAAGAAAGTGGGACAGACTCCAAATACTAACAAAATCTACACCTCTGACATCACCTAGATCAGCAGCATCTCCAGGATACGGAGATGGTCCATATATAATCCTTTTATAAACATAAAAGGACCTTTTCTACACAGATCCACCCTTTAGCCCATTCAAGGCTCAGTATACCCATCTTGTTCTCTGAGCTGCAAAGGAGCCCACTCCTTTCATTACCTCCTTCTCATACCTTGTATAAATCACATAGCCTCAAAGATCAGCAAATTGATGCAGTAATATAAATATGTATACACACACACAAACCACCTCCTGGCAGGAGATATCACGAGCTTTACCTACTAGTTTAGATTTGGTTTAAAGTGAGATAAGAACAGTCAATCCAAAAGCACATCTAAACACAGCTGCAGCTGAATGCTTAGTAAATAGTTAAAAAGACAAGGATGGTCAATGCTCCCTTTTTCAAGTTCAGCTTTTCTGCCACCAGAAATCTTCGACTCAAAACCACGGGAAATATCGCTGTGTTTAATAGTGCTTAATGGGTTCTTCTTCCCTTACTTGAATGAACTTTTGAGCTTTGTTATACTGTTGGCACCCATAAAAGCCCATGAGAAGTTTAACAGCTCAGTTTAACATAAGGGGTCTGTACACACGAGGAACCCAGAGACAAGTGAGGACACCCTTTCTCCTCTACATCACATGGAACAAACAACAGACTTTTTCCTCCCTGCTATAACACCTTCCCTCGTGCAAACGAGCACTGCAGATAATAAACCCCTTGCAGAATGTATATGCTAGACTGAAGTCTTGGGCACACATCACAGTAAGAGATTTTAAGCACATACTAATGCCAAGGCAAGAGTCTTCCAATACATAAAAACAAAAGAGGAAGTGAAACAGACACAGACCAAGGCATTTCAAAACAAGCATTCAATCCTGACCAAAGAGCAAAGCTTCTGCCTTAGAGGGACATAAGGCCACCAGAAACTTTCAAGAGTTTAGAAGAAGCACTCATTTCAAACAGAACAATGCTACAAAAGGTAGCAGCAGCTGCAGAAGCACACTAAAAACTGCAGACACTCGACACATCCTAAAGATAGCAAGCCACAGCCTTTATCTGTAGCACTCATCTCAGCATTTTGATTGCCTTCCCCTCTACAGTTTCTTCACGCAGCCATAAGAACTTGAGTTAAGCAATTTAAAGCTGAATGCAGTTATACCCCAATCAAAGCAGCATTCAGCAGCTATAAAAGATTGGCTTATCCAGTTTAAATAACCAATACAATTCATACGTGGTTTTAAAAATCTGACGTTTTCCTTTGGATTTTAGCAAGGGCAAAACCCAGTTTTATCTACAGAATTATCACAATTCCAGACCTTTATAACGAAAGTATTCCAAGCAGAATCATACATAATTACATAGTTTAAAAGTATTACACACAGTCAATGAATTAAACCCACAACTCCTCTACTAGCCCAAATGAAAACAGGCTTGACGATCCCTTGAAATACATCAATTGCAGACTTGCAAGCCAAGTTCTTATGTTTCTGGTGATTGCATGAATTTTCAAGCAGAGGGTGCCAATTCTGTTTCACAACTTCAGAGCAGCAGTTGGCTGGTCTCAGCAACACGTTTTTCCCTCTGTTCTCAAAAGCAATACTTCAGAAACAGAGGTTCAAAGCACAGCCAGCCAGTCACACGTCTAACAGACGAACAAGCCTGACCCAGGGAGTCAACACTTGAGCCAGCATGTTACATACATCTTGGCCATAAATATATCACCGAGTCTTATAGTAGAAGTCTGCTTACATTTTCATAGTCCTTCATGGTCCGAGCTCTGGTTGGTGAGACTGTGTCTTCTGCCACATCTGGCAGCCCTAGATATTTAAGAAGACAGAAAAAGTTCAGACAGCAGAATCTCTAAGCTGGGCTGCAAGCTGGAAACAGCAAAGGCCTAGCTAATCTCAACATAGTGAAAGTACAACACCTTTGGGGAAGTGAAGGAGGCGTTTTTCTTGTCCCTTGTTCACATTAAATGTTAGTGCTACTAACTAGTTAGTACCTAGATTTCTTTCTGATCACAGCAAGTTCTCTACCACTTAAGCTCCCAAGTTCCAAATTGAGCCATTTAAACCAAAATGTGCACTGAAATCAAGCTCTGTGAGGTGCATTTTCAATACTAAGTCCTCAGAGCAACTAGAGGAGTCCCATATTAGAATTAAGTCCTATTAAACCATTAGAAAGCAGTTAAAACCTCAGTACCTTACTGGTAAGAGGACAGTACTCCACCTTAGATATGGGAAACCATGGACATAGGAAATGACCAATATGTAAGTTTCTAAAGCATAATTTACATGAACTTAAAGCTTCCTTTTGCACACATTCTGTTACATTGGACTTGCTTCCACTCAAAAGCGTGAGAGCAAGCTTTTAATGGGAATACTGAGACTGTATAAAATGCTTGTCTTCAATGTAGAGAAGAGGTAGCTGAGGACTCATTCTCATACTAACCACAAGAAAACACTTCATTCAAAACAGTCCCCAAATTGCTCTGTAAGGTAGTGCGACTTTGAAAATCACCCCAATAACAGTGATGACATTTTCTAAGCAATTTCACAGACAGCTTTCCTAGAGCACAGGCTGAATACAATAAAGTTCTTTTGCAGCATGGGTATGTTTCTTACATGTGTTTCCTTTCGTGAGCAAACAGATCTTCATGGTAAACCATAAAGTCTTACTTTCAGTTACGTACTTCATCTACACAATGAATTCAGCCAAGTTATGTTGCTGGACACACGTGTGTAAAGAGAAATCAAAACCATACACCTCAAATGTACCTAACGGAACACAGAACAGTTAACACCACAGCTAGAAGGCTTCAGAGCAGTACTTTGCAGCTATCCAGCTTTAAAGAGCTTCAAGCAAGCCTCCCACACCTGAAGATGAACATAGTTACATGGCTCTCATATACAAAACTGTACTGAATTGAAGCTTCTGTTCAACAGAAGGAGGATTCTGAATATGTGAATAGATAAAAGCAAAGATACTGAGTCTAGAGCAGGCTACTTCAGGCAGGAAGTAACTCTGAAGAGCTGAGCTGGAAAACCTAACGACACACAGCATCCAACTTCCCTAAAACTAAGCACAACATGAAAGAATAGTACTGCCTTGCTGGATACTGTAAGTGTTTTAAGTACACGCTTCACAAAACCACTGATCATCTTATGTAAGACTAAGAGCCATCATGACCACAGGCAACAGAGCAGACAGTGGTAATTGCAGCAGTTGCTGGTGGTTTATAGCCTTAAAAAGACCTAACTGACAAAAAGCTGCATCACTTGAAGGCATTTACTGACTTTTTTCATAGATCACAAAATGGTTTCTGTTGGAAGGAACCTCAAAGCTCATTCAGCTCCAACCCATGGGCACCTTCCACTGGAGCAGCTTGCTCCAAGCCACTGTGTCCAACCTGGCCTTGAGCACTGCCAGGGATGGGGCAGCCACAGCTTCTCTGGGCACCCTGTGCCAGCGCCTCAGCACCCTCACAGGGAAGAGCTTCTGCCTAAGAGCTCAGCTCAGTCTCCCCTCTGGCAGGTTCAAGCCATTCCCCTTGGCCTGTCCCTACACGCCCTTGTCCCAAGCCCCTCTCCAGCTTTCCTGCAGCCCCTTTAGGCTCCGGAGCTGCTCTAAGGTCTCCCCTTCAGGAGCCTTCTCTTCTCCAGGCTGACCCAGCCCAGCTCTCTCAGCCTGGCTCCAGAGCAGAGCTCCTCCAACCCTCTTGCATGAGGGCAATTCCCAGACCCAGAGGAGCACCGAGCCCCTTGCAGAGCCGGGCAGACTCCTCCTCGGGTGCCGTGAGTACCTCACCGCCGCCTCCCGCACCGCCCGGCCCCCATCCTTACCGTCGCCGCCGGCCAGATCGCGCTGGGGATCCATGCGGGAGACGTCCGGCAGCTGGGACACGCTGAAGAAGGAGGAGAACACCGCTGAGGACAAGCGCTGCGGGGGTCCCTTCCCCTCGACCCCCGCTCGGAACCGGCGGGCCCAGCCCCACCATATGCACCGGCGGGATGCAGGAGCAACGGGCCAGGCGCCTCAGCGCCCCCCGCCCGCCTACCTGCCCTAAAGCTCCACCGGCAGCGTCAGGTCGTCCCCCGGCAGTGAGTCCATCCACCCGGACAGCCACAGCTCCGGCTCCTTTGTACGCGGCTTTGGCGGCTTCGTTGGAATTCAAACACGCGCAATCGCTTCCGCCATCTTTGCGTCAACGGAAGTGAAGCCGCTGAAGCCACCGCGGATGAGCGTAGGAAGCGGGCATATAGAAACTGAAGGGGAACCGCCATGTTTGGTGAGGGCAGTGGCTGAAGTGGAGCGGGTAGGCGCCATGTTGGCTGAGGGCAGTATGGTGGAGACTGCCAGCTGGGCAACGGGGGAGAAAGGCGTCGGGCGCCATCTTGAGTGAGGGAAGCCAGGGCGATGTCAGCCAGCCGCCATCTTGCTTTCAAAGGGAGACAGGCGGCGAGAAGCCGCTGTGGTCACGGAGAGCACAGTGGCTGCCACCTTTGTTGAGGGCAAGCCTGTCGAGTCCGTGTGGGAGGCGGCGATGGGATGGGGCTGAGCAATGGGGTAGCCCCCGCCTCTCCCCGCTGCCTTCAGTTCCAGAGCTCCGCCTTTGGAAGAGGGTTTTGTGGGGTGCTGCGGGCTCCACGCTGCTGCCAGAGCCGCCGGAGCTGATTGTTTCCATGTCCTGCTCGGCGCCAGTCCTCTGTCAGGCTTGGAGAGAGGAATAATGAGGCTTTAATTTCCCATTCCAGTCACTATTCTCTGTAGCTGGCAGGGGTGACAATCCGCGAAGCCAGCTGCTGTCAGCACCCAAACAGGACGATCTTGAATCAATCGGGGGGGGGGTGGTTTGTAAAGCAAAGAGCTAACCCTTGCAGCTTTCCCACTTTTGAGCGATAAAATGGAATTATATTGAACGCTTCAGGCAGCTGGAAACGGCAAACTGAATTAAACGCTAACAACAATGCTTCCCCCAGGGGCTGTGTCTCTGAGGAGGGCCCATGAGGGCGTCAGGAGCCGGTGGAGCTGCTGCCTCCATGTCCCTCATGCACTCCACATTCTCTTCTTAACTCGAGATTGCAACTTCTCTGAGACATTCACAACCAGGGCATCGTGGCAGGACTCACCCAGCGTCACCTGCAACACGAGGAAGCCCGTTGCAGGGACCCACCACAGCGGTGATGTGCTTAAGGCAACACGGTTTGGTTGCCTCTTCCGTACGGACTGTGTCAGGTTTCACTCAGTGGCATCTGGGTTATCGCAAAGGGATTCATACCTGGCCAGGATCTAGGCCACGGGTAAGGGCTGACCATGGGCTATGGCAGTTAGGTGGGTTTATTTGCCCTTGTAAGAGCAGGTAGGGGCAGGACAAGAGGAGTGGCTTTAAACTGACAGAGGGGACACTGAGATGAGATCTTAGGAAGAAGTTCGTCTCTGGCAGTGTTCAAGGCCAGGTTGGACACAGGGGCTTGGAGCAAGCTGCTCCAGTGGAAGGGGACCCTGCCTGTGGCAGGGGTTGGAACTGGATGAGCTTTAAGGCCCTTTCCAACCTAAGGCGTTCTAGGATATGATTATTCCAAATCATGGTGCCCTGTTCACTCCGTTTTCTGCGTGAACCCTTCCCAGTTCTACTTGCTATTCAGAACAGATTCAAGCCTGTAAAATGCACTAGACTGGTGATAGTGGCCATTGCGACCACTGGATGTGGATGATCATGGAGGGCTTCCCATCCCTACTTCTGTCTTTCAACTTTATGTGTACAAGTGCATGATGGAGCAGCTGCTGGTGCCCCAAACTGCCAGGAAACACCATGCACTACTTAGCACAAGTAAGCTTTTAATCTCCTCTCTATCCCATTGACCATGCCTAATGCTTTGCATTCGGGGTCTGATGACCCTAAAAGTTCAGTCATTTCAACTCCCCCATAGGCCCCTGAGAGACATTTATCACCTTATGTGACTGGGTGCAGTGGCCTCACCTTCTGTTGAGCTGAAGTTAAGTTTGCAAAAGCAGGTCTGCCATATGGCACCAGGGTGCTATGAGTCAGTCTGAAACATGGCTTCACTCCTTTACAGAGCAGATCTTCACAGAAGGAGTGAGCCCACTTACTGGGAGGATGGTACCACCTGGCTCACGTTTCAGGTTACCATAGTGTGTTACGTATTTGATACATGCCATTAAATCAGCATCCATCAGTGTTTAGTACAGGACACATTATTCACTGCCCATGTGATGCGGGCATGGCACCTCTGTGTCTGCAGAACCATGGTTTATGTCCCAACTTACTGTCTTTCAAAAGGAAATCATCAGGATCCTCGTGGTTATCACATCATGGAATGGTTGTTTGGTGGACAAAGGCATATATAGATGTATATACACACAGACACAATGGAAAACTTCCCTGGCTATCTGCACTGCCCAATCTGCAGCAGCACCAAGAAGCTGTGAGGGGCAGAAGGGGCTGGGAAGTGCATTGTTTAGAAGCAGTTAACAACTTGCCTCCTGATAATCTGCTTAATGCTGTTTAACCGTATCTTAATTAGTAACACATTTGGGGAGATTATTCTAAATCCTTGTGTTAGGAAGCTGTATTGGAATGATGCTTTCTTCCTTTACAAGGCAGCCTGAGATCCTGACTGCCTCAGAAACAAAAGCACTAAAGGGAGTCCAGGAGAGAAGTATTGTAAGTGTAACAATATGGATGAGCTGCTCATCCCAAGGAACAGGATGAAATCCAGCAACTCAGAGTGCTGTGGCTGAGGTGTGATGGTGGCATAAGGAGGACAGATGTCACCATCAGCTGAGTATGGGTCCTCCTTCCCATCCTGTCCTTAAGTCCCTTCTCTGGAGACCTGGCTCAGCATTCGGTTATCCCTCCTCCTGTTACAGTTCATAGTGAAATTCCTCCTAAGCTATGTCACACACAATCAAACTGTTCTGCTAATACAAACCAGGTCTCAATAAACTCCCTGGAATTTCACCAGTGTAGCCCTTACTTATACAGCTCTGGCTCAGTTAAACATTTGAATGAACACTCACTTTTAAGGGCTTGCCTAATTTATGCCAACTTACCTCTCCAAGTTCTTTACTTAATAAGAGTTAGACATAACATTCAGCAGAAAAGACTGCCCTTTAGCATTTGTATTGGCTTCTGCACCAAAAAATCCATTTCCTAACAGTGACGACTGAGAAAGAAATGCAAGTTTTTTGTAGGTCCTTTTACAGACAGTACCAGAACTGTCAAGGACTATCGATGCGCCAGATAAGGATTTCAGAGCGTCTGATAACCTACATTTCCTTTGAAAGAGCCATTGTGGTCCTGAAGAAAAATCCAATACAGTATCTTCTTCCAGATTCTAGCTTTGCTCTGTGGGTTTCATTGTTAATGACTGCATAAATCCTGACAAATTATGTCTATGGGAATGTTACAGACAACAACGGGGAAGCACGCATTGACTGTCTGGCTCCCAAACATGTTCATGTAAGTAGCTGAAAGCTGGGATGAATAAGACACAAAACATCATAGGACTCCTTTTATAGATGGATTATCTGACACAGAATGTCAGCTGTACTTATAGCTGATGTTAAAAACCATTTTTGTGCCCTGGTTCTCCTCTCACATCTAGGGGTGTAATGAAGGAATAATTCTGAACAAATGTCATTTAAGATTGGATTCAGTCCTTTAGGTTTCAGTCCAGCTCTGGTTGCCATCAATGGAAAGACTCCTGCTGAACTTGAAGGAACAAAAAACAAATGAAAAAATCCAAGTGGCATAGATACAAATTATATACATTTATTTTTATTCATTTTAAATAACATTCTTCTGTATAAATTCTGACATATATTCAAATCATACACTTTTTATTTTAGAAATGCATTTGTAAGCATAGCATATGCTTAGGAGACACCTTATTTGGATGCGTAGTAAGACTGATTGGTTTCAGTTGGGAGCAAGTACAGCTTTTAAGGCCCACATTTCTCTTATCCATGCCTCTGACACAAAGAGCAGAGTCCTGTGGGAGCTCATTTTAAAACTTCACTTGACAGAGAAACTTATTTTTATGTCCTTTATTTAAAGGAGACTGTGCAAACTTCCCCCGTTTCCATTGCATGTAACGTTTAAGATAACACAGTTGTAGAGCACTGAACTGGCCCAGGACACCCAGAGGATGCTGACTACATCCCCTCCTCTTACATAAAAGGCTTCCAGCATGCCAAGTTTGCCTGGTTCAAGGGAATTCTCATTCCAGTGGATGACATCTCCTCACAGCTCCCCAGGGCTAGTGCTCCACACAGTTACTCCTAGCTACAGTGGTTCATAAGGTTTGAGATCATCATCTATTCCCATTAACTCAATCACTCCATGTCTGTTGCATTCTGTGCTTACCAAATGCTCTCCTAAGCTGTCAGCCATCCAGGCTGCCCCACGCATTTGACATATCATTGCTTTTTGCCCTTTATCCACTCCATTATATTCTCTTGCCTCCAAGTTACTTGACTGTTGAACTCACCCCATCCAGACCAGCTGGGTCCACAGGGCCCTCACGACCCTGAGGATCGTGCCTTGAGAGCTGGTTTCCCACCTTAACCCAGCCCTTATTGTACCTTCTCTATGTTCTACAGCCACTGTACCATGCCACTGACTACCTTTCTTCAGGAGAGCCATACAGCAGCATGCCCACTGGGAAGGTGAAGCATGGTGGCCCTTCAGCAATCCTACATGTATCTGTATTGCCGCATCAGCCCTAGAAGTCATCCAGATGCCTTCTTCTTGTCTTGCTAGCTTGAGTAGGACCTCAACACAGCCCTGTAAATCCATTTCTGGTTTACCTGCCCACACCCCATTGTGGCATAGGGCAAACCACAACATCTGGGAAGCTTCATGACAAGTTACAACGCAGCAGGTCGGTGGTCCTGGTGTCCTTTAGTACCCTGGCACGTGTGTGTTGCTCTGCATCCCCTCAAAATGCAATGTCAACCTAAGCTGATAGAAGATACAACTAGCTCAGCTTCGTCCTCACCTGCTGCAGTGCCCAGGGGACACTGCATGAGTGATGGAGAGAGCGAGGATCTCATCTCACACCACCAAAATCGAACATGAAGCTGTTTATTCTCTCTTTGCTGAGACATTGATCCCCTTTTGTAAGTGCTATTCCTCTGTGCCAAAGGCCTGGTTGACTGGAGATGGCCGGGATTTTCCTGCTGAGTCATTTTGCCAGCTGACAAGCACTGTCCCAGTGCCACATCCTCACTGTGCTCCAGTCCCTGCTAAAGAACATCCTGTGCTTTCCTCTGCTGTCCAAACCCAGGCAGGCAGGTCATCCCTGCCCAGCCAAGCT